TCACGATGGTCGTGCGGTTTTCCGCGAGACGATCGAGCGCGGCCTGAACGATCTTCTCGCCCCGCACGTCGATGGCACTGGTGGCTTCGTCCAGAATGAGAATGGTCGGTTGCTTGACAATGCTTCGCGCGATGGCCAGTCGTTGCCGCTGTCCGCCGCTCAGTTTCGTCCCGTTCTCGCCGACCATGGTCGCGAAACCCTATCTCGGTGGTTAGACAACATTCAACTCGGATGTTGCAGAAACATACCTCCGGCAACCGATCGATAAACTCATCCGCAAACGCCTCCCTGCAAGCCTGCTGTACGAGTCCCTTCTTGACCTCGTCCGACTCATGCTCCCACTGTGTACCGATCAGCCCGTACGCGATGTTGTTGAAGATGGTATCATTGAACAAGATCGGCTCCTGCTGCACCAGCCCGATCTGCGTGCGCCACCACTTCAGATCCAGATCCTGGACATTGTGCTCCCCGACCAGGATAGCCCCTTGATCGGGATGCTCCGCGTTGGCATTCAGCTCATACCACCGCTCCAGCAAACCCACGATCGTGCTCTTACCGGAGCCCGAGGGACCAACCAAGGCCGTCGTCTTGTGTTTCCGGAACCGGGCGTTCAAGCCCTTGAGCACCTTCGAGTCGGGTCGCGACGGGTAGGTGAAATGCACATTCTGGAAGACAAGGTCGACCTCCGCGGAGACTTCCGGGCCACGGAGTCCGCTTGCATTCGGCTTGTCGCTGTCGATCATCTCGAAGAAGGCGCCCGCAGCGCTGGCGGCCTTGGCGATGGTCACGAGCGGGGAGGCGATGCGACCCAGCACGCTGACGGCCACCATGACCGAGAAGAACACCCTGTCGAGCATTAGTCTAGCCCTTACATCTCAATTCCCCCAACCCAAGAATGCTGTGAGCCTCACGTGATAACCGTGTTGATATTCTGGATATGCCCCTCCCGGTATAGTTTGAGCCCGAACCAAAACGCCAACGAGTAGCTCGCGTACATGGCGAAGAAGACCAGCCCCAGCTGCACCGCCATCACCACGGACAGCTTGCGGCCGCGCAACCGGGCGATCTCGATCCAGTCGGCGTACCGCTGCGCCAACGTCCCCTCGGCGCCCAGGGACACGACCGTCCGGATGGAGCCGATGACCTCGGCGGCGATGGAGGAGTGCTTCTCGTCGGCCTTGTCGACCTGGCGCTGGATCTTGGTCATCATCGGCACGGCGACGAAGCAGACGGCGAAGATGAAGACCAGGGCGGCGCTGGTGACGAGCGTCAGGGCCCACGAGTAGCGGAAGGCGATGACGTAGGCGGCGACGAGCAGGGCGAGCGACTGGAACAGGATGGCCAGCTTGTCGGAGATGCTCTGCTGGATCGAGTTGGAGAGCGTGGTGATCGTGTTGGTGACGGTGCCGACGGAGACCAGGTCCAGCTTGCTGATCGGCTGCGCAAAGAGCGCGTGCATGTACCGCAGGCGGAGGGTGCCGGAGACGCGGAGGCCGATCACGCGGAAGCAGTACTAGACGAGGTTATTCATATGCTGCGGAGACTTTGAGATGGGCTGGGCACGGTGGACGCACCATCGAAAAGTATGTGAGGGCGAATTTGGCGATGAAGAGGTAGACGATGTACAGGCTGGGTCGCGGGTTAGGGTTCGGCTCGGTCGGGGTCTCTTCGGTGGCTCGCATCGCACTCACCTCAGTTTGCTGATGGCGGATTTGAACTCGGCTTCGGTGGTGGAGGAGTCGTCGGTGAAGTATCCGTTGAATTCGCCGACCATATTCCCAAACACGATGTTCATGAGCGGTAGGGGCTGCAGACGAGGAGAGATTAGCCGTGTACTCTGTGTGTGTATTGGGGTGACTGCGGACACATACAACACCCGACCCGATGGAGGAGAGGAGGGCAACGGCGAGGATGGCACGATCCGATGCACTTGCATGGGACAGTAACCTCTGCGGGGGGGTCAGCGAATTCTGCATCAAATTTTGCCCGGTAAGCAGAATAGTCTCCGTACAAAATAACTGCCTAACGAGGCCGTCTGCTCTGATGTGGCATCCTTGGCGTTGGTGTCGGACTTGGACTTCTTGCTGGTGGTGGTGGATGATGCAGTCGAGGTGTCGGTCACAGAGAAGATCTTCTCCGCAGGGAGCGTATTCTCACGCTCGCCCTGATGTGGAGGAGGGCTTTCAGTCGCTGAACCCATGGCGGTTGACCTCGCAGGAGATCATGAAGGTGAGTGAGATGGGAGAAGGGGGGGGGGGGGGGGGATACGCAGATGCAAGGCTGCGGGCGGGAACAAGGCATCACTTATATGGCCATAAATATTCCGTAGGTACTGTACAGTAGGTACGTACGCATTGGACTACCGAGTACGGGACCACCGAATACGAGTGTTTATGTTCTAGCCAGGGGAGGAGACCCAGCCAGGCTAATCAGAGTTTGGGCCAAAGGGAGGGGGGGGAGGGGAGAGAGTGGAGTCATTATCCGTGCAGGCAAAAGACCCAATAGTCTAACCATGGATGCATGGATATACGTAGGGCAGGGATGGATGGAATGGGGACAAACCCACAAACCTGCCAGGTGTCGATCTGCATTTGGTGCTAACGTTACTACGTACGGACTTTCGGACTTTCGCACTCCCCGGAAGGCGGTCAGCTCCGGTTTTTGATCCTCAGTTTCATTCTTTCAGTCTTCGGGGATTTCGGACTCTTGCAACTTCCCGGATTATTGCTTGCTGCCTTCAGCTCCTTTCTTTCTTCTCTTCCCCACTAAACAAACCCACCACTGGGCACATCATGACACAACCCCTATCGGTAAGTTCCATCAGGCGTCCTGCGGATCTATCCATCCGAAAGAATGTGATCTGCCTAACTTAGCCATGGTGTAGTGTACTCGTTGCCAGTCCAAAAAGGTTTCGCTGCCTGCCCCCTCTTCATTCCCAGATGACGACATGCAAACATGCTAACTAGATTCGCTGCAACCGCGCCGACCCGCGATGTGACAAATGCGCCGCTGCAGGAGCTCAATGCGCCTATCTACCCAGAAAACAACGCACCATCAAGCGAAGGTGGTCCATCCTTACTTAAAGATGATGAAAGAATGCAGAAAAACAAAAAGCTAATGCGACCGTAAACCTCCAGAGCACTCCACGACAGAGACATCCTGCAGGAAATCCTCCGGAGAATAGATCGCCTCGAAGACCACTGTCGACTGAGCCAGAATGTCACTGAGGAGGCCGAGAGTCACCGTTCGATGTCCGTGGAATCTGAGACGATTTCATCCTCCGAGTCCTCAGCGACCGACTCGCCTGCCAGTGCTCAGTCGCCCACTGGGCAGGCCATAGTGCAGGGCCTGCTGGCTCGCGTCAAGGACGATCGCATCCGGTCTCGTCTCCGATCCCACGTTTTCTGCGCCATCGATAAGATCGGGTCGCGCTTCTTCGAGAATCCCCGTTGCATGAGGGCGATGGATGCTGCCATCGCGGGCATCGAGCAGCTCGAGACAACGCCGCTGGATGCCAATCCACCTGTGATCCCCAAGGAGACCGTGAAGAAATGGATCAATCGTGTGTATACCTCCCCATGCACGAGAGCCGATTGATGAAGACGCTGGCTAACTGCAGGCAGAATACTTCAACAATTACCAATTCGAAGGGTTTCGGATCCCCCTAGAGAAAGATTTCGTGCTCGCCATGCCCGATCTGATCGACAGTCCCCACGTCCAGCTCGACGCGACCTCCCAGATCATCTACTACAATGTGCTCTTCCAGTCGTTCATGCTGGATAGCGAAGAAGTAGAAGGGAGGGGTCGGACGGTCCAGGCGCTGTGTAGCACATGTCTGAAGCTAGCGGAGGACTGGCTCGGCCGGATGCAGAATACAACTGCCGATCTATTTGCGGCGTTCATGATGGTGTGCATACTTTCCTCCGACTGTAATACACACTACTGACCAGAGCAGATGTCCATGACGCTGGAGAGTTGCGAGAGCGATCTCTCATGGAAGATCTTCAAGGCAGCCTGTCCTGTTGCGCGCGCTCTTGGCTACTTCTCCGTGGACGAGGATCGCCATCATCCCGACCGAAGACCTTCACTGGCAGGAGACTCGCAACATGAGGAGATCGAGCGCAATCGCATGCGATTCGAGTTCTGGCACATTCTCCGCACCGAAAGCCACTTCCGACTCTCCTTTGGCAAGCCCCCGATCATCGCGGGGGGGTCCTGGGCCGTCAACTTCCCCGATCCCACCATCACCGGCGTGGATCATGAATCGACTCGTTTCATCCAGATTCACTTCCTAGCATCCATGCGGCTGACCATCGTGACGATGCGATACTTGGATATAATGGCAACCAACCCCGACCCCCACACGGCCGATTACAATGACACCATGGATGGGCTGATCGCCGAAGTGCAGAAGATCATGTCAGATTGGAATCCGGTAAGTACATTGGAAGGGAATAGTCACACATGCCTGACCTGAATTAGGAGGAGCTACTGAGCTCGACCACCAACCGCATTGACACGTGGTTCTGCGTGGATATTCTCTTCAGCAGCTACAAGATGCTTATCGTGTTTTACCAATCCAAGCCGTCTCATCGAGATAGTCATCGGCTGCCATACCACACGGTGGATATCGCCCGGAAGAGTTTACTGATGTCGCGGTCGCTCATGGAGGCGACGCCGCGCCCGTACTGGGGCATTAGGTAGGTTGCTTCTATTGTTGGGATTGACAAGATTGGCCACTAACCATCACAGTCTCATCCTGCTTCACCAGTCCATTCCGCTCTTCGTTCTCTGCTACGACATTCTCGGATGCTACGAGCGCGATGACATCGCAGCAGATGTCGACTTGATAACGTGGTTCGATGACTACGTCGAAGTGGCATCCAAGGACCGCGCGGAGCTCAAAGCTATAAGCCTAGTGGTGAGGGAAATGACACGAGCCTGCCAGGAGATCGTGGGGCAGTAGCATTGCTACCGATTGATACCAACATACGACCAAACTACTGATCCAGAATCACCCCCAACACATCCTTCAGATCCCCATCTACACAAGTCGCCAGCCCCATCGCCTCCAGCTCCGCCGGTACGGCCGCCGTATCGCCCAATCCTATTCGAACCAATTTAACCCTCCCTTCGCCACTTTCCACCAACTCCTCATTCTCCCACCTCAGCACGCCGGGGGTTGACATCCCGACCCCTAATTCCAGAATCACTACCTTCCTGTCCGAGTCCCGCAGGAAATCCTCCTTGAAATCCCGCCATCGCTTCTCCCCCTCTTCAAAAGGCGCCTCATTGAACCACTTTCCGGCCCTTACACAAATTCCCATCTTCCCGCCGCAAAACCGACACACGGGGATGAACCTCTCATCTGTCACCCTCTGCGTTACCGCATCCAGCCCTCCATACGCGACAACCTTCTCCAGCAACGGCGCCGACTCCACCACCGCGTCCTCACAACAATTGCCCAAACACTGCAGATAGCGATAGGCGCCTTGCGGTGTCGATAATGCATGCTCATCCAGCCCATGCGCGAGGAACAGGCCATCTGCATTCGACGTCCGAACATGCACCCTTCTCGCATCCATCCCAAATTTCCGCCCCATCCACTCCAACAAAGCAGTATACATCGCCGACCGCGGCCACGTGCGCACCGTCTGCAGATGCGTGTAATAGAACCCCCACCGCACCTGCTCAGACCCCCAATCCTCCGTCTTCATCCCAAACGTATCGTACAACTTGGCCAACCCCAACGCCTGGAAAGCCGGGAAATCCTTAGCGAAGAGAGTGGTGGAGGTATAATCCAGCCCCGTGGCGGCCGACAGTCCCGCGCCACAGCTGAGGAGGATCGTGTCTGCTTCTTGGAGCCACACGCGGGCTTGCTGCATCGATGAACCTATCAGCTGCAGGGGTTTTAGTAGGGCACCGGTGGGCGAAAGCGAGAGAACTCGCTCGTAAGCGACCGTCTCCTTGTCCGTGAAGGTATTAAAAATCACCCCCGTGATGCTCGTCTCGGGGTGCTCGCGCAGCCAAGTAACCACAGTCTCCACGGCCAACGGCGCCGCCTCGGCAACAGGGTACCCGAACAAGCCCGTCGAGATTCCGCAGAGAGCAATGATCTTTTCGTGTTCGGGTGAAGGCAGGGCATCTGCTTGCTCAAGCACGGCACGATAGCATCGCGCGAGCTGCGCCTTCTGGATCTTCGAAGGGCAGGGCTGGTGGGGATCCAGCTGCGGCCCGACGGTGTGGATGATCCACGGCGCAGGCAGACAGTAGCCGGCTGTGACGACTGCGTCGCCGACGGGGAGCGTGCGGTGGCCTTCGTCCATGAGGCGGAAGCACTCCTCCCGGAGGCCTGGGCCAGCGCGCGCGTGGATCACATTGTCAATGCAGCGGTGCGCGGGCTGAAAGCAGCCCAGCAGGGCGGTGTTGGCGGCGTTGGTGATGGCGGTGAGGTTGGTGAGGGTGGTGATGTCTCCTTGCCAGAGGTAGAGTTTTGTGGTTGTTAGAAGAGATTTTGCATCTGTACCTACAATTGATCGCGTAGTTGTGGCTGGATGAGGTGTAGATACAGTGACTTGGGGTAAGGTGCAAGCATCAACAAGAGCCCTATGCTGCCGCTCCCACAGCAGAATCCCCTCGATCTCGCGCAGGAGCTCGGGATCCAGAGCCTGTCGCGGATGTCGCACACAGAGGAGCTGCTTCATCAACCGGATCTGCGCCCAGGTCTCCATCGTATGAATATGGTCTTCCATTGCAGCATGGCTGTGGTTGTGGCCATGGGTGCAAGTATGCGACGGAGCCTGGAAATACCGCGACTCGCGGAGAAGGGCGCGGAGCACTCGGGGGAGGAAGTCGGCCATATTCCTTATCAATAACAGACACACAAAGACACACAAAAATACAAATATATCGTACAAATGAAAGACCAAGTAGGAGAGCAAGAGAGACTATATAAACCCCCAGCCTTTAGATACCTCCATCCGACCCGAGATACAGTCCGCAATTTCCCCCAATTAGAAGCCAGGATGTGAGTTTACACTGTTTACACAGTTTGCATTCCTCCCACGGAGGCCAATCACGACTCCAGAGCCTGTGTCAAATCCGAATGCCAAAATGGTGCGATTTGCACCGTTTGCAAGCGGCCCAATTCCGCGGTTGCTGCGTCAGCATGCAAGCACTTTGTGTACCTGCCTTTTTTTGTCTGATATTGTCAAAGATCTGTCCGCTTGATATCAATTCCTCGATGGTCTAACGGTCATGATTTCCGCTTGTCAATCCTCAACAGGAACAAGCGCGGGAGACCTGGGTTCGACTCCCAGTCGGGGAGATTCCTTTTTGCCGGCCTTCTTCCCGCTTCAGGGGAAGGATGCAGATGTACGTACTCCGTACCTCGCTCGTTGTTTTTTTTTTTTGGCTTGTTTTGCATCACATTCCTAGACATTCATCTCAATGAACCAGCTTATCAAAAAAAAAGTGTCATGGATTTCAATCTAGATTAGCTCACTGTGGTACTACCTTACACATATCGTGCTGTGCTGTCAAGCTCTTCCGAGACACGGCACATCTATATTTCTTGCGGCTTCTTAACGTCACATTTACCATATCGACAACTCCAGCATTCTGAACTGAGAAGAGATAACCATTGATGAGATTAGCTTGGGAACATCGATCTTGTTACGATGCTCTTATCTACTCTATGTTCTTATTTACTCTTTTCCCCTGCCTGACTTGCATTGCTACTACCATGGATCGCATCCGGAAGTGTAAATACTCTGCACCCTTGCCGCGGACCACGCATATCCTGCCCTACTTTCTCTTCCCCGCCTTTATCCGAAGGGTGTTTGATCACAATGGATACCTAGTCGTCTTCTCTGTGTTCCGACTTAGAGGTAGCCCCCTCGCTGCGAAGCCAGGTTGATTATGCTGCTGGTCGAGATTGTCCGACACCTGAGATGGGTCGGAGAAGTGCTTGCTGTAATTCATCTCGAAGACAAGTGTGGTTCATGCTGCATCTCTCATGTGAGACTGGCGCGGGGGCAAACAGGATGACAGCTGCTGTTGCCGATACAATGATTCTCATAGCTGCACCACCGCTTGACAAAGAGCTGATGCAGTCTCCAGTAGCGCGCGTATACTACATCAGTCCACCATACGAAGAGCCTCCACCACTACGAACTCAACCTCGAATTAGACGTATTCAGAAAAACCAAGTTTTGAGGTATATACATTTCCACAATCACAATCATCACTCGTATCGCATTCTATAATACAACCAAACAAACATCATAAGTCATAGGTCATGTCTGTGTCAAAAGCGAGTCGAACAAAGGAAATCGGCAACAAAAAAAGCCAGTAACAAAGGGTCATTAGGGCATCATAAAATCATTGGGTATCAGTTCCAGTTTTTTTTTCCGGTCCGATTCTCACAAGGAAGTCGGAATGGGCAGCTCGCTCAGAGACTTGACCAGGCCCCGGAGGGCGGGGTTGAGCTCCCCCGCGGCGGCCTCGAGCTCGGTCACGGTCTTGTTCACCTCGCGGCCGAGCTGGCGGATCAAGTCATAAGTAGCCTGCAGGGCGCCGGTGCGGTGCAGCAGGTCCAGGATCTGCGCCTTACTCTCGGGCGACAGCGGGGCCTCGGCGGCCTTCTGGCGGTAGATGCCCAGGATGACCGTCTTGGCGGCCGGGTCCATGTTGCAGCAGCGCACGATCGGGTAGACGATCTTGCCGTGGTCCAGGTCCTCGGCGCGGCCGAGCAGCCCCAGGTACTCGTGGCGGATCTGGTACCAGCGGCCCAGCAGCTTGGCCAGGGGCTCGAAGTCCAGGGACGAGCCCTCCATGCTGGCGGCCTGCATGAGGCGCACGAGCAGGCGGAAGGTGGAGCCGGACCGCTGGTCCACCATGGTCAGGTACTCCTGCTCCGAGGGGGCCTGGTAGGTGGTGCGCCAGTCCAGCTCCCATGACTGGCCGATGAAGCGGGCCTCGAGCTCCTCCAGCAGCCCGTCCAGCATGCCGGGGCACTTGAGGCTGTTGACGATCTTGGCCACCCGCACGAAGGTGTAGGCGGCGCTGTTCATGCACTGCGCCCGGCCGAACACCTGGTGGGCCGGGGTGCGCTGGCTGCGGTGGGTCGCGTGGTCCTGGATGTCGGCCAGCATGTGGGTCGAGTCCTGCAGCTCGTTGATGATCTGCTTGATGTAGGTCAGCGGGCGGTTGGGGACCTGCAGCCAGACGTTGAGGGCGCCCAGCAGCTCGCTCTGCAGGTCGGTGATGGCGATGGATCGCATGTAGCCGGCCGGAGCGAGGAGGGGCAGCGTATTGAGCTGCACGACAGGCGCAGCCGGCTCTTCCACCAGAGGAGTCCAGACCGCCACGTCCTGGGGTTCCTCCTCCTCTTCGGGCTGAGCCGCCTCCTCCACATGCTCTGCCTCCTGCTCCCGCTCTTCGGCCTCGGCCTCCTCTTCCTCCTCCTCCTCTTCGTCTTCATCCTCCTCCTCGTCCTCATCGTCTTCAGCAGTGGCGTCTCCCTCGGAGGAGTCCTCCTCGGCGACGGAAGCGTGCTCACTCTCCTCCTCTTCGCTCTCCTCGATCGTGTCAGGAACAGCGTAGCGAGGTGTGTTCTTGGACCAGTAGTGGATGCCGGCCAGGGACGAGCCCAGGACCTCCATCCACTTGCGGAGCTTGGGGGCGAGATCCGGGTTGGCCTGGTAGAGCGCCTCGCGACGCTTGACGAACTCCTGCTCGTTCTGGATGATGAGCTCCTTGGTCTTCGCGACCGCATCCTCCTCCGACATGTTCTGGTGTTGCATGAGGAACAGGATGACGTTGGCCACGGGACGCCTCTTGGTCTCGCGCTTCTCCTTGGGCCAGCTGTAGTAGTCGTTGGTGAAGAACATGGTGCGCTCTGCGGCGTCGAGCGCATCTCTTACGATGGCCTGGTCTTCCTTGCCCAGGCGGGTGCCATGGGCGAAGCCCATCAGGGTCCAGTACACACTATCACACTGATTAGGATTTATTCCATGTCAAGTGAGAAGTCAGCGGCCACTTACTCGATACCGGCGTTGAGGCGTCTGCGAGCCACATAGTCGTCGAGGTTGGCGCAGTTGTCGGCGGTGGGGACCTCGGGCGTGACCAGCCAGTTGCTCCGGTAGCTGTCAATGATATCGTTGCCATCAATCTCCTTCTCCGTGATCTCGGCCACCGCCTTCTCCAGCAGCTTCTTCCGGGCTTCGGCGCGGGGCGACTCCACGTGCTCGTCGGGCTTGTCGGTCGTACGTCCGTTGGATTTTCCCTGGGCTGCGAGGTGCAGGTTAGCTACGGTCGGTCATGCATGCGCGTGCAGGACGGGGGACGTACCATCATGCAGGCTGCCGAGCTCGGTCAGGTAGGCGACGAGCTCGAGACGCTCGGGCAAGCATTCGGGGTAGAGGAAGCTGGCGTAGTTGCCGACGGGGCAGGACAGGTAGCTGGTGGGCTCCTTGCCCTCTTCGGCGGCGAGGGTGGCCGTCAGGTCCTGGACGAAGCGATCGCTGCCGCGTTGGGCGACATGGTCGTACTTGTGGATGCGGGGGACGAGGGTGGTGAAGCAGCCCTGCAGCTGCTCCTCACTGACGGAGAGGGGCTGGGAGTGGGCCCAGATCTCGATGGGATCGTGGACGGTCTGGGTCGGGGAGCTCGGCTCGGACTGCGCAGCGGAGAGGATCTGCACGGCGCTGCTCTTGCTTCTTCTCCGCTTGTGGGATAGGATGTGCGAGTATGACTTGAACATTGGTGTGATGTGGGCTGCGAGGGCACAAGCCGAACCAGCAACAAAGGATTAGAAGGGATGAGAGTGAGAAACGACCTGTATACCGACCAGGTCTTTGGTTGCAGTAAATAGCGAATCCACGAAGGAAAGGCAAGATGATGAGGGAAAAAAGAAAGAAGCTCCGATGGAGCACAGGCAGTAATATATAGGCTCGGAGCTCCTCAGTGCTTGGACCAAGTCCCCTCTTTCCAAGGAAGCAAAAAAGAGCTAACAGAGAGAGGCACTGGGCAAAGTCAGCCCATGGCAGAAAAAAAAATTTTTTCTGTTGTTCAATGGAATGCTCATAGCGATAAGGCCAGCATGGACCTCAAGCTGGTCCGACAAGAGGCGAAGGAGAGCATTTGGTGCATTTGGTGCATTGGAGCTTGAGAGGAGGCGAGAAGCTAATGGTGAGGGAATGCACTGATTGGTGGGGGAGGTGCGGCTACGGGCGTTGGATTGGTGTTCTTTGGGCTTAGTTGTTTCTTAGTTTCCCGCCGGCTGCTCTTCACCGCTAAGTCTGCTCTGCACTTTCTATCAGTTTGGTTACTATCAATTTCTCTTGCGCCCCGGCCGAGGTTGCTAATCTGCCCACTTCATTGGGCCACCTCAACGCCCAGCCCAGCGATGACGATATCGATGGAGATCGCTTTCATCTGTCTCTGGCAATGGTGTCGGGGGGATTCCCTGGGTCGGGGTTGGTCGGTGATTACCGATCTGAATTCGGAGGGGAGGAAGTGGGGTGGTGGTGGTGGTGGTGCAGTGTAGTGCACATGTACTAGGTAGAGTGGACGCGTCGGAGAGTTGTGTATTTTGTGTAGTGTATGTAGTGCAGTGTAGTGTAAAGCATGAAGCCGATATGGTTTTGGTTGGTGACGTGGATACCTGCGATCAACATGACAGCCACTGCAGCAGAAGCCGAGGAGGGGAAAGGGTCCTGCGGGTGTGGAAGTGGTCTGTACTGGAGATCATCATCCAAGTGAGTTTTTCTCATCCAGAAAAAAACATTGTTAAGCATGACAAGAAGAAATGAAGCGAGGGAGTGGGGACCGAAGTGGGAGGCAGTGGAGGCAGTGGAGGCAGTGGAAGCACAAGCGAACCAAGTGAGGTTGAAGTGGAGCGAAGGAAGAGCCAGAGGAAAAAAAAAAACAACATTGGCTGGTCACGTGGCCCCACCCGCCCGAATAGGCAGTCTGTCAACAATCCTGCCACCAACCCTTGCTTTTACTCACTTGGTACTCCGTATCGTGTCCAAGGCGACGGGCAGTGGTGGTGCTTGCATCTCAGGCTCTCAGCCCTCGTTCACGCCCATGCGCCTGGAGGAGAGAAAATTTTCATGGTGGGGCATTCCGGCAGATCATCGATACCCCTCTCCTCTCCGGAGGAAAAAAAAATCAAAGAGTGAGGCTGGTAGATGTGAACCATGACGAGGATGGTAGCCCCTCCTCCACCAGTTTGCATATTCTGCGGGATGGAGCTTACGTTAAGCCTACTGCGCTATACTCACTACTGCGGAAGGAGACTACAAGTAACCTGATTACCTAGGGACAGTGTATCATCTGGTGTGATCAGTGACCACCGGAGAACGACGGCGCGTCGACCGGAAATAGAACGGCCCCGTTCTGCGATAAGCTGATCGCCGCACGATCGCCGGGCTGCATCATTGACCACAGCTCGGTTGACCCCTCCGGCCGTTTCGAATCTTTCTGATGCCACTATCCCTCTTTCGACCGCCCGCTTATCGCTGGCAACACAGACTTTCCCTATACTTTTGGGCAAGAGAATGTGTTTGTCTACAAACCACCCCTTCATAAGTAAATTTGCCAGAAAAACTCAAAGCGTGAACACGTCGTCTCGAGGCGTCGATCGAGGTTGAGCGATCGATAGCAGGGTCGCTTCTTGTGCGAAGACTGCAGCAAGAGTACCTAGTAGAGTTCGAGCTTGTGTGCTCAGCGCTCATGGCGATTGGCCGCCGGGGGAGTCAGGTGCAGGCATCGGGATGCGAAGAGTACGCTTGCAACCCACCTGGCAGGGAAGGAAGAAAATCTAAAACCTTGACTTCTTAGCGTTCGCCCTGATGAGGCTTGGCTGGAGGAGAGATACTTGACTTGATGGATGTTGATAGATGGTTGATTGTGGTGGAGAGTCAGTCAGTCAGTCAGTTAGGGCTGGCTGTGATGGGGCTGACAAAGCATGGCCCCAGGCAACAATCAGAGAAGCGGTCAAGGAATGCTTCGTATGCTGCATCCACTATCTTCTTCTCGGAGAAATCCACACTGGCCTTGGTGTCAGAGAAAGTGACCTTGATGTCACAGAAAGCGGACCTTGGAGGTGGACGGACTGGTCGCTTGGCCAATTCGGTTGATGTCGGATTCAATGCCAGATGCTTCTCTCGAGTTCGTCTCTGTTCTCTGAGTCACTCTCACCTCAATCAACCAACAATGACTAGACAACACCGCTTTACACTATGGCGGCGCTTTCATAGGTGTCAGGACTGGAGACAATTAGGGCGATGGGGGCTCTTGCTCCCGTGCGTCCAAGAAACGTGAATCAAGACTAGAACACGAATGATTCGACGATACTGCTTCATAACTAGGGCTATGATTTGACGACTTTCAACACTAGGGAGTATAAGGTCTGTGAGCTCATCTTCTCCCATGCATCCAAGAAACATAACTTAACATTGAGACCAGAACAAGAATGACCAGCCGATCCTGCTTACAGCTATGACTATGCTTTCACGACTGTCGATACTGGAGAGTGTGGAAGCCATGAACTCTCCTTTCATGCCTTCAAGAACCGCAAGCTTGGCTCACAAAGAAAGCACGCGATCGACATGGACGCATTCATAGTGAAAACTTCCATAACAGCGTCTTTGTTCGACCCAGCCATTGAAAGATTACTAGCACTCCCTGATAATGCCTTTGTCCTTTGCCTTGAGGGAATTCACCACCACGAGCTTCTTTATGGAAACGGGGTCCAGCATCAAATCCCTTTCACCGCACACTTTGAAGGAGATTGCAGCTACATCTCCCATGGAGCCGCTTCCATACCACAGCATCCCTGATATAAAACACCATGCAGTCTCTTGCTTGCTCACACTATCCCTCCCATCCCTCCCATCACCACAACCCCCGATCCCCACAGATCAGTCCCAACATTGACTCCTATTCCACGTGAAAACCCCACAGTAACCAACCAGCAAAATGCCCGGCTTGAAGAATGCCTGGGAAGTCATGCCCGGCCTGACCGAGGAGCAGAGGACCTTGCTCCTCGCGATGCTCGACTCGATGGCCGTGGACACGCCGCCGCGTTCGGAAAAAGATTTCTCGGAAGACAAGCCCGACCCGACGGCGGACGAGATGGACTGGGTAAGCAGCATGTTCGAGTCGTTGGAAGCGGACACACCGCTGGACCCAATCGCGCAAAACCTAACCCCAGCGGGGCGCCGCATCCTGCTCGACCCGGCCAACATCAACCCGACCCCGCCGGTCTACGACATGGCGACCGCGCTGCACACGCTGCGGATGGACATGACAACAACCAGCGTCGCAGGGCTGCAGGCGCTGGCGGCGCGGTACGCCAGGTACACGCACTTCGCGCGGCGGCTGCGGCTCGAGGGCACGCGCACAGGGCCCAACACCCCCTTCCAGCGCAGACCGGACCACACCATCCAGGTGCCCATAGACATCCCCGAGGTGCGGTGCCTGCACGATCTGCTCCGGGACCACTTCCCACTGATCTCGGAGTTCGAGCTGGCGCTGGGCCCCGCGGGCGCCGCCTTCACGGACGTCATCAACCCCGGGGACGTGCCCAAGTGCCTGATTCGGATGCTCAATAGCCTGCGGCGGCGGATCACGCACCTGTCCCTCGTCTCGGAGGCGGACGACTGGAACATCGAAACGCCGATGGAGTTCTTCGTGCCGCACCTGCAGCACTACGTGCTGGAGGACCTCGAGGAGCTGCGGGTGCAGTGGCCGTACTGCGTGGACGACAGGATGGAGTGTCCGCCACGCGCGCAGCCGCACCCGTGGCTCAAGTTCTACAAGCGCATCTTCAAGAGCCCGCTCCGCACGCTCGTCCTCGAGGGCAGGGGGATGCACTGCTTATTCCCCCCCGCGGGGCCGACGTTCAACGCCATCCCCGTGGGCGGCTGCAACCTGCGCCACCTGACGCTGACCAACCTCGTGCTGATGGCCTACGACATGTGCATCCTGATCCCAAAGCTCCCGAAGCTCGAGTCCATCACGCTCGACAAGATCCAGTTCGAGGGAGAATGGCCGCAGGTGCTGAAGATGCTCGCGGACCTATGTCTGTGTCTGGAAAGATTCAAATTCCAGGAGGTGGAGTGGGTGCTCGACCGCCACCACCGCCAAAAGGCCGTCAGCATCACTTTTAGTGGTTCTTCAGAGGAGGTTGATGTTCATCAGTGCCTGCGCCGGCTGGCTTCCTTCGATGAGAGGCTGCGTTGCCGCGCCGATTCTACCTTGTGAGCACTGTAGCCCTGACTGATTTCTCCCCGCTAACTGGCCTTCAGACTTGTGATCGGTAGCTGGTGGGTTATTGTCTTAGAAAAAAAAAACAAAAATAAAATAAAATAAACCCGACAACGGCCACACCTATTAAAATCTTTTTTGACTTCATCATCTAATTTGGCAACTCAGAACATACGCTAGTATCCCACACCACTAATCATGACCTTGAACACATTCTGCCTGCCTTACCGCACAATTCTAGACTTATCCCCTAACAGTAACCGGACACTAATGTATGCTCACATACCACCACCAGATAGCCCTAACAAGATGACCTTCCCCAACTCCAACTCCAACCCCAACAATTGGAGCTGGACGCACCGCCACTGCTTGGCACCGGGATCGGAACGCAAGACGGGCTCCACCTGCCTAATCCAGTGTGCCGGAGCGAGCGAACGGCCGGGAATGACTCCCGCCGATGATTCACGTGGGGGTGGGAATGATAAAATCCCAAAGTATACATACCAGCTCAAGCCTCACTCTTCTTCAGCACCCCACTACATTCACCCCCAAAACTCGTCATCATGGTAACTACGCACTCATCCTCCAACTCAACTCCAACTAAAAACCCATTCACAGACCACCGAAGCCCTCTATCTAGACGACGCCACCCTCACCACGACGACGACAACCCTCACCTCCTACCGCCCCATCTCCGCCCTCAGCGACCCCGAAAAGACCCTGGCCAAGAATATCCCGACGGAGAACCACTATGCCCTCACCACCCGCCAAACCGTCTTCTACCCCCAAGGCGGCGGCCAACCCAGCGACACGGGCGTGATCCAGCTCCCGAGCACCCCCAACGCCACCTTCGAAGTCCTCCTCGTGCGCAAGACCCCCGACGGCGAGATCCTGCACTTCGGACACTTCACCACCCCGGCATTCCCGCTCTCCCTCGCCTCCAACGCCGTCGCCACGCAGACCATCAACGCCGTCACCCGCAACTACCACTCGCGGCTGCACACGGCGGGCCACATCATCGGGCTCGCGATGCGCCTGCTCGCCCCGGAGCTCGGGGAGCGCAAGAAGGTGAAGGCCAACCACGCGCCGCGCGAGGCGTGCATGGAGTTCGAGGGCCTGCTGTACAACGAGCACCGGCCGCTGATCGAGGGGAAGGTCAACGAGCTGGTGCAGCGGGCGCTACCGGTGCACATCTCCTGGTGGGAGGAGCGGGAGATTGCCTCGAAGGAGCTGAATATGGTCGAGGGGTTGCAGGTGGGGCAAGGGGGGAAGGTGCGGATCGCGGAGATCGCGGACTTGGATGCCAACCCCTGTGGGGGCACGCATGTGGCGCATACCGGGTTGACGGGGTATATCACGATCCGGAAGGTGAGTCGGCAGAAGGGGGTGACGAAGTTGTCGTATGAGGTGCCGGTGGAGGTTTGAGTGGTCGTTATGGATGTGGTTATAGATGTGGGCGTAAGAGTTTATATGTTTAGAGGTGTATCACTGAATTCCATGATCGTATATGATCATATACAGCGCATAGACTTGTCTTGCTGACACTGCTGGCATTTCCAGAACTACCCGTCATAACCCCTCAAAACTAAAGCTCAATACTTGCGTATATATCAACATAGATCTCGAACTAGTATCATTAGTAGAAATCCGACATAATGCCAGGAGTTATAACCAAGAATATTGAATCACGTTTTTCGGATGGAAGACATGAATGCAATACAGAATAAAGATTTTCATACTTCTAGTACGCATCATAAGAAAATCTTCATTTATGTAGATCAATATTAGTATAAACTGTACAGTTGGTGTTGAATTTATGAATGTGTCCAAACAGGTGTAATACTTACTCAAAGTATGTCTAACGCAATTAACCGACATAGTAGTGGATAATCGCGCATAGTATCGTACCTGGCTCGGTTCCTGCAGCAGATGCACTAACATGATGTGATGCATAAGGCTGCGGCGTGGCGTTGCGACTGCATCTCCAATGTTGGGCCAGATCGAGTGCACGTGGGCAGACCATGACCCGTCTGAGGCATAGCTACCACGACTCGACCTGATGCTAACGACATGGTCTCTTAGAACTGCAGGCATGATGCAGGGACCGTCGTCAGCGAATTGCCAAGGCGTCAGAAGGATCAAGGTGTCTTGGCTGGAACGCTGCAAGAATATATGGCTGGCACCAAGCTTTGGCTAAGAAACTTCCAAGGTGCTTGTTTCCAGAGATTGCAAATGTATACGAGGTGACACTACACCGGTGTGACTTCAATCCTAGCAAGAGGATAAACAAATGAGACCTTCACTAGGAATTCGATGAATTATTATCTGAGGTGTGTACCGTGCCTTGATTCAGCTCTTTTACATCGCCACACCCAGATAGCAGCAGCAGCAGCAATGACAACGACAACGAAAGATGAGGAGGAAATCAGACGGGAACGGCTTCATTAACTAACACCCAAACAAGTCTAGTGACAGCATCGGAGATACACCGTGCAAGACCCACTCCCCTCCTCAGTTGACCAATGGACCAGCAATGCGATAACACGCCTTGGCTTCCCCGCGTGTGATTGGGATCTTCCGTCGGCCGCCGCCGGGGCTGACACCATGTCACTCTTCGTATCTTTTGCGTATCGAGACCTAGCAAAATACCTCGAGGTACTTGGTGCTTATCACCGGTCCGACAGCGGAGGGGAATTTCGCTTCACTTTGGGAAATTGAGCACGTGGGCAGTCTTCTGTCTCTGTCAGTGGTCGATATGCGCTCTTTCTCCATCGTCGGAAATGAGATCGACCGGCTCAGACGGCCATTGCAGCTCCCCGCAATGAGGAGAGCAATCGCCGGCTGGAGGCTATATAAGGGCCTACATCTCGCAACTCAAGCTGCAAAACACAGCAGTAGGCTTCAGATCATCGCCGGATAAAGAAGACCAGCACTTGTCTCTCCATTTACTCACTTCTCTGTCCTTTCTCACAATCCTCCTCATGCCCTCCTCCTCGTCTCTCCTCCGGACCGCCTGTGCCCTAGGTCTGGCTACCGGAGCGTCCGCCTTCTCCTACCCCGCCGCCATCCCCCAGTCCACCCAAGAGAAGCAATTCTCTCAAGAGTTTCGCGATGGCTACAGCATTCTGAAGCACTACGGCGGCAACGGCCCGTACTCGGAGCGAGAATCCTACGGCATCGCCCGGGACCCGCCCACTGGCTGCGCCGTCGACCAAGTCATCATGGTCAAGCGACACGGCGAGCGGTACCCTTCTCCCAGCGCTGGCGCGGGCATCGAGGCCACCCTGGACAAGGTGTACTCGGCCAACATCTCGGAGTGGAAGGGAGATCTCGCCTTCCTGCAGGACTGGACCTACTACGTGCCCAACGAATGCTACTACAACGCCGAGACGAGCAGCGGGCCGTACGCGGGCCTGCTAGACGCATACACCCACGGCAACGAGTACCGGGCCCGCTACGGCCACCTCTGGGATGGCGAGTCGGTGCAGCCCTTCTGGAGCAGTGGCTACAGCCGCGTCATCAACACCGCCCGCAAGTTCGGCGAGGGATTCTTCGGCTACAACTACTCCACCAACGCCGCCCTCAACATCATCTCCGAGTCCGAGACCCTGGGCGCCGATAGCCTCACCCCCAGCTGCGACGTCGACAACGACGACTCGGTCTGCAATAACCTCGTCTACGCGATGCCGCAGTTCAAGGTGGCAGCTGCGCGGCTGAACGCGCAGAACCCGGGCCTGAGCCTCAACGAGACGGATGTCTACCATTTGATGAGTATGTCCTGCTACCACCTTCGTGGAGCATCAGCTGACCACCGCAGCCATGGCATCCTTCGAGCTCAACGCCCGTCCCTACTCCGACTGGATCAATGCCTTTACCCAGGACGAATGGGTCAGTTTCGGGTACCTCGCAGACCTAGACTACTACTACTGCGCTGGGTAGGCCCCCCTGCCGTTGCCGTTCATGAACTAGCCTCAACCCTAACATCAATGCAGACCCGGCGACAAGAACATGGCTGCCGTAGGAGCCGTCTACGTCAACGCCAGTTTGACGCTGCTGAACCAAGGCCCGGAGGAGGCCGGCTCCCTCTTCTTCAACTTGTAAGCCTCTCCTGCGCCCTGCTCCAAGTCAAATGCACTGACCCGACAATAGCGCCCACGACACCAACATCACCCCCATCCTCGCCGCACTAGGCGTGCTCATCCCCGACGCCGACCTCCCCCTCGACCACATCCCCTTCGGCAACCCGTACAGCATCGGCAATATCATCCCGATGGGCGGCCACCTGACCATCGAGCGGCTCAGCTGCAACGCGAGCGCCGCGACGGAGGAGGACACCTACGTGCGCCTGGTGCTGAACGAGGCCGTCCTCCCGTTCAACGACTGCCAGTCCGGGCCGGGGTACACGTGCTCGCTGGCCAACTTCACCTCGATCCTGAGCGAGAGTCTGCCGGACTACGCGTCGACCTGCCAGGTGCCCAGCTCGTACCCGCAGTACCTGGATTTCTGGTGGAACTACAACACGACCACCGGGTTGAACTACCGGACGACGCCAATCGGGTGTCAAGAGGGGGAGAGTTTGGAGTAGACTATGGATATTGAATAGGTAGTCACTAGTGTGGTGATTTCAGGAGCTAACGAACGAGCCTTCCCACCTCCGATTTTACGTTCTACGATTACGCTGCACAGAGCCAATACCGTAGATGAGGCATGAATCATTAATATTAAACCAAAACACACGTTCAAGGTCAAACCCTCCGCTCCGTCTCCGTGACATAGAACGACTTCTGCACCCTGACCATCCTCTCGCTGCCCACCACATCCGTGCCCCACTGGCCCCCGCCCACCACGCCCCCCACCGTATTCTCATACTGGAACCCCATCCCCGTCAGACTCTCCTGACTATCACTCTTCCCTCTCTCCCTGCCCCTCCCAGCTCCCAAATCACCAACCCCACCACCACCACCACCGACGACAGTCGCCATCGCCATCGCCGTCGCCGACCGCTCCACCCCGTGCACATCCGGCCGCCACGCCGCATCCACCAACTCGACCTCGAGATCTTGGTCCTTTTCCGTGCGGGAGCGCGAGAAGCTCGAGAACGGGAAGCTGCCGCGGGACCGGGAGCGGGGCTTGCGGCCGGTGCCGCCGCTGCGGGTGGTGTATGTGTAGGCGTAGGGGGCTTTGGGGGTGGACGAGGCCCCGTGGTCCAGGAACTTGCGGAGCAGGGGCCGCAGAGTCACCAGGCTGCCGGCCGTGATGCCTAGGCCGAGTTCCAGGAAGGACCAGAGGTCGATTTGGTAGGTCGAGTCTTGGGGGGTGTTAGCTTTACCTTTAAGCGAGTGAAAGGGGGGCGTAGCGTACATAGAAAGTCCAGGTCCTTGTAACTTGGTAGGAAGGGAATGCGGATAATGAGGGCCAGACATGCACTGTACTTGTTAGTGTTTCGTTGCACGATTCAAGAGTGCGAGGGTTCGTAAAGCGGCAAGGGGGAGGCACATACACACAACCCATACTCAACGTCGCGCCCAGCGCGATCTTCGTGCGCGGGTTGATCTGCAGCTTGCGCACCAGCAGGATCGGCAGCAGGCCCAACGCCAGGTCGCACGCCGCGCAGATACTGCTGTACACGTAGGCGACGGCCAGCAGCACCGAGGTGTCCAGACACTGGCCCCGGCCGGTGCGCTCCCAGAACTCCGAGACCGGGTGGCATTGCAGCACCATGAAGAACCAGAAGACCAGGCCCACCGTCACCGAGGCGCAGATGGCCGTCCACAGGATGATCCGGTGGGATTGGCGCACCGTCAAGCGGAGCAGGGCGAGCGCGATCGACACCTTGGCCACGCCTGAGGCCCACATGTAGATGAGTTGGCCGAGCCACCACCACTATTTCTGGTCAGTATCCTCCGAGATGGTGGTAAGGAGGGTGGGAAGGGGGCGTACAAGCATGGCGCGGTGCAGGTCGTCCATACTCCGGAAGTCGGTCAATTTGCGACCGATGCCTTCCTTGGCGCCGACGATGGCGCAGACCGTCAGGAAGATGTTCAATACCTTCGGGTTGGTCAGCTTGGCAGCCCGGTAGTGCAAGTGAGCGCCGGGGATGCCTACCGTAGCAATCACCATCAACCCATCGTCCCATCCGAACGCCTTGATCAGTCGCAGTCGCACGTACGAGCGCAGGCACACGGTGATGAACGACACGGACATGCACACGACGGCGACGATCAGGATCTCCTTGCTGCGCCCTTCGACGGGCATCATCTTGGCGGTGGTTCGGAAGATCCCTTCACTCTTGCATCAAACTGGGGTGGGGAATTGTGTGGTGGAATGCGTGTCGCCTCGGGTCGGATGGGTTAGCTGCGATACGTGCTGCGGGAACGGCCAAAGACTTTTATATGAAGCAGCGACGTAAAGCACATGTCCGGTCGAGGAGACGCGACTCGCAGAGTGGAGGGGTGAGACGAAGGCGCGCGCTGCAGAACCTTAACTCGAATACAGTTCTCGTAGGGGGGTGGTGTAGGTTCAAGGAGAGTCGCGAATCGAGTCAATGGGTGAGTGTGGTGGCAGTACTACCGAGAGTCGGGTCCTGCCCAATGGCGGTAGTCGAAAAGCAGTGACTGGATCTGATACACAGGAGAAACCGCGACTGCTGACGGGCGGGCGATGCGGACGGTGCCAGTGTACTTAAATGGCTCTCACGGGGAGGAGTGGCAGGGATGCGCGGTGTTTTGGGCTTCGAGAAGGACCCAGTCTCGCGCTTCGGCTATCAGTCTGTCCCGGCAGAATACGAGCTGGCCATGGTTCTCCCGGCCCAGGAAGCAGATTGGCGAGGGGGATCGGCCATGGTGAACTGACTCGAGAGGGGGCAACACTCCACGGTTCGTCGCAGGATCGAAACTACCGGACTAGTGTTCTCTGGGTGAGCACGGGGCTGGAGTGGCGTGGGTAAGTTCCAAGATTCAGGAACCGCGATGGCGATATTGGTTCCTGTGGGGCAGTCGACGGGCGTCGAGCTGATCAGCAAGAGCTCCGGCTCCAGGTGAATGGCAGATCCGCTAAGAATATCCCGAGGGTGTATCAGAAACTGCCGCGACACGAGGTTATTCTGTTGACGGGGTTGACATTGACAATGTGTTTCGATTCTCAATCGCAAGGCGGTGGTTGGGAAACCTCTCAATTGCATCTGGCCCAGATCGATCGCGACACTTCCGATCAGAATTGCAGTTAATCTCGAGAGGACATCGCCAAGGCATCTATCTGGCTGATCGAGCTGAGCAGCGGCGATGGCCGGAGCCCCTGCAGCCTCGGAGGCTGGAACCGACCTCCCTAAAGCGGATAGCTGCGGAGTGCCCTAACCCGACCCTTGACTCGCTGACCTCGCCTACCGACTGTTTCTAATCCCAGTCCAGCATAGACTGGCCTGCAAGCGATGAAGCCGGCCTGGCATCTGGAGCCGAGACTGCTCTCGCTGGATCATTTATCCACCCGCTCCCTGGCAATGGTGGGAAAGACCTACGCAGATACTATATACAGCGACGCACCTGCCACCGTGTGGTCTGGCCAGGGAGATGGGTGAGATTTCATTTCCCAGGTGCAGTGCAAAAGGGCCGGCTCCAACTTTATTTTGTCTTAGGGCGAGTAGGTAGTTCGGGGAATCAAGATGTTGGGACGATCTTGTACTGCGATTGCAAGGCCAGCCACAAAGCCATCGCCTGATCGCCCAGCAACAATAATTCCGGTCGCTACCAGAGTTGAGCGAACCAGCCGACCGGGAGAATGATCCAGGAAGAGCTTCTGTCCTCATGAGAATCAGGACATTGGGACAGAATGGCCTGATGCATGCGTTAATGTTCAAAATAGAATTTTCGATCTCCCCGCAAAATTGGGTTCGTTGTAGGAGAGGGGCCAGATATGTTTCAAATCTCGTGCAGCTCTCCTCTTGAGGCTAAAAGAGATATTTCGGTTTCACCCAACTTACTTTTATCTTCAGTATCTGACTCAGGCCAAACTCATCTCCAAAGGCGATGAATGTGCTGGCGGCGGCAGACTGACCAGGGTGAAAATTGACGAGGGGCAATCCCAGTCCGGGTTGTTCCACTTTGAGGCAAAGCCCCGAGAATGAATCGCTAGCGGGTCGCCTGCGGCACGTGGTCGGCTACGCGATGGTAATCAGATCGATTCAACAACAAACTAATAATCAGGAAAAGGGGAGCAGTCTGGGGATCTCTTCATCATCCACCCGAGTCACTTCTGCCTTGGATTGTGGGTGCCATTGCGCCCGAATGAAGACAAGAAGACACCCACCAAATCCCGGTACCGTGGTTCAGTGGGCGAGGTTCCGCTAGTCTGGAACAAAAAAAGAAAAAAGGAAAAGAAGATGGAAGGCGGGAGATAAACAGAGAACGGTGGACGGAAGGGAGGAGAAATAATGGGCCGCGAAGAAAGTGCACCCGCGCGGACTCGAACCGTGAACCTCTGTGTGAGTTGTCGATCTCCGCATTCAATCCACCATATCTAATGCTCTCCAGCCTTTTCTTCTCGTTGAGCACGCAGCGCCTAACTATACCCTGCACGTCTCATCCAGTCTATCTTATTACGTGACTTTGGGTAATAATATGTCGAGATATGCACCTACTGTGGCCTAGATTGTGAGGTTGCTGAATAGCTACGGCACCCAAGCTAGAGGACAATATCACGCTTACCGCACTATCACCATTCACCTTCAGCTGTCTGCGACCGGGAACACATACTGGTCGCCTGGCAGCTGCTTCAATTCCCAAATTTACCCTACGACTGATCGATGGAAGCAAAGTTACACCGATCAAGCATACGATCAATGGACACTACCATGGAACGAATCATCGCGACCGCGGTCAAGACCCGTGACACGAGCCTCGACAGCTCTGTAGGGCATCCGACGGCAGGCCTGCTTTGTCTACCCCGAACATACCTAGGAGTTCCATGGCTATGACTGTCGATCAGGCCGGAATCGCCAGCACAGCCCGCTCAGCCGCAGTGGAGGAGACACAAGGCTGACAGCTTGACATGGCCGGTGACTGCGAACTGCAGGGAGGCTCGCATTGTTGCAAACCAACCGCAGAGATCCTTCAGCCACGCTGCGCCTCGATGAGGGTGTTGGACCGCAACCTGGCGGTGCCAGATGCCTTATATGCTCCTCGACTGCCCCTCAACATTTACGCTCTGGCTTCACTTGCAGCAAATATCCCTCCCAACCAGCACTATCCCGGCCACCACAATGACCACCAACATGGCCCCCGCCGCCCTCAACGTCCTCTACTACTTCCAGAAACAAGAGCTGAAGCTCGACTTCAACTCTCCCGACCGTGCGCAAGCCTACCAGAACCTGAACCGAGAAGGTCGCATCTACGCGACGGAGCCGACGGCCGTGTACCTGCCGCTCACCCCCTCGATGGCCTACCTGCGCGACAGCCACAACGGACTAGTGATCGGGTTCACCACGGGCGCAGAAGCCAACCGATGGTGTCAGACAGCCGTGCTGGGCCGGCTGCATTGTCCCAGCACCCCGCATGAGGTGCGCATTCGGCGCGCCTGGACCGACGAGGCCCTGGACCAGCAGTTCCAGATGCAGCAGTTTCCGCTCTTCATGCCGGCGCAGGGAGAGGCGCCGCCCTCCCCGCCCCCGTCCGCTCACTCCGCCACCAGCAGTACCAAGCGACAACCGCTGACCCCAGGCTCACCCCCTCACGCACCGCCGACATGGAGCCCCGAGGCACCACCTACCCAGCCGGCCAAGGCAAATAGTCAACCAGGGAGCTATCGGGGCACCAGACAGACCATGTCGATGCAGCTTCCGCCGTCGACCGCCGCGCATCTACCCGGGCCGATGTCTTCACAGCTCCTGCCCGCCCCGTTGACCATCGGGACACAGGAGCGCCCACCCGCAACGCAGGGGATTGAACGACGGCCACGAGCGAGCAGCTTCTACTAAACCCGATTATTCTGTTTCTGGTCTTGTCTTTCAAGCAAAGCATACTAAACATGTACCGCATAGCGAGGAGTTACAATGGAATTGTACTTGATTTGTGTTACAACCGTGCTATGCTAGGCAATCATACACTGCATGCCGTAATCCCGGTCAATTTCTCTCCGGCCAGGCGTTATAGAGCCCCTCCGACACGGAGACATTCCTGAACTGCACCTCGCCCTCGCCGTTATGGAAGAAGCGGATCTGGGTGGAGTTGTCGTACCACGATCTCGCCCAGGTGCTCAACGCAAAGCGCCCGTTGGCATACACCTCGACAACCGAGTTATCCACGACGACAGTGAGATCCAACGTCTCGACCTGCTCCTGGCCGTTCTCGATCACGTCGAACAACCGCAACTTGCCGGACTCAGTAAAGCTATCCAGCCCGGGGTTCGTGGGCGCCGCCGCACTGGTCTGGCTGCGGTCGACGACCAGCGACTCATTGCTGAACTGGTAGTAGACGGCCGTGCGCTCCAGCTCCGACGCCAGGATTTCGAACCCGGACTGGAGCGGGGACGAGCGCGCGCTCGCGGGGAACTCCAGCTGGGCCGTCAGCACGAAGAACTTGGAGCTCGGCGATTGCGCGAACGGCACGACGGCCGCCGTCTGCAGCGTGCGGTCCTCCTCCGCGGTCACCGAGCCGTTGGCCAGCAGCGCCGCCTTGGTCTCCCGGGCGATCGTGATCCCCAGCGTGCGCAGCGTGGCCGTCTGGTTGTCCGACTCCCCCACCACCCATGACACGCCCTCCTCGCGCACCAGCTCGTTGTCGACGACGTTCTCCACCGTCTGCACCTTCAGCTCGCGCGGCAGCAGCAGCGACCCCGTCCACCCCTGCTGGGCCGTGGGGAACCCATCCGCCTGCTCGTACTGGTCGCCCGTCAACCAGACGAACGAGACATACCGATCCACCTCCACGCCGCTGGTCTTCGACACCGCTGAGCTGGCCGGCAGCACCTTGCCCGCCGCAGCGTAGGCGCTGAACCCCCAGTCCAGAAACCCGGCCATGGAGGGGGAGAACTCGACCTTGGCACCCTCCTGCTCACTGCCCACCCCGACCTCACCCGCCGCCCACAGCATATCGTGGATACTGGAGACCTGCGGCACGATGGGCAGGCCAGACCCCTCCGTGCCGAGTGTGACGAACACCTCACCCGTCTTGGGGTCATGGCCCTCCTCGGTGAGAAAGAGCACATTCCCCGTCTCGAAGTTGAACCCCCAGCGCCCGGCCCAGGTGCCCTCGTCGCCCCAGCTGGAGTTGGTCGCCTCCTGCCACCACTCCCCGAGGTACTCCCAGTACTGGAACTCGGAAGCGTTCCCGCCGTTCTGGCGGTAGAGGAACTGCGCGGGCCCGACGCCGTGCACCCCACCAGAGACCGCGACATACCAGGGGGCGTTCTTCTCGGTCCAGCCATCGACGGCCTGCTGCACGGCCGTCTCATTCCGCGCCACCTCCTCATCCAACGACAGCAGCACATCCAACCTGGCACTGCGGAAGACAAACGGATCGCGGAAGGCGGTGACGTCGACGGCGAAGGGGTGGTCGGCGATGACGGGGCCCTGGTCGAGCTTCTCGAAGCGGCGGCCGCCGTCGCGCGCGACGGCCAACGACTGCGTCTCGCTGCCGCGGGTGTAGGGGATGGACCAGTGGATGGGCAGGAAGGAGACGGAGGTGTAGAGTAAGGTGGGGGTGTTGTTGACGCCGACGGGGATGACGGCGCCGTCGAACACGGCGACGGGGTCGTTCTTCCCGCCCGGCTGGATCAGGAAGCTCCCGTTATCGGAGGTGTCGGTGTAGGTGGCCAGGTTGGCCGTGGTGGCGCCCGCGATGCCGTCCCCGTCGTGCAGGAACCCCACGTGGAAGAGGCCGGTGGATGGGTCGGTATAGTGCGCGCAGGGGTCGCCGATTTGGCCCTCGGCGGGCAGGATGTGCGCGCGCGGCCGCCACAGGTGGAAGAGGGTGTTGTTGGGGAGGGTGCTGAGGTTGGTCGGCGGCGGGGCCGTGGTGTCCAGGTGATATGAGGCTGCTGCGCCGGTGGCGAGCGCCAGCGTGGTAGTGGTGAGCTTCATTGTGATGCTCCTGGATTGGATAGCTTCGAGGAGAGTCTTGCCACCGGGAAATGGGGCGCTTTATATGTCGCTTGCACGGTTGCTTGCGCTCCTGCTGCTGCTGCTGCTTCTTCCGTGATGTCCTGCTCAGAGAAGACCCTTGTGCATCGTCATACGATGAATCTCCATGGATTCTCCGCGATTTCGGCGAAATCCCGCACTGCCAGGGTTGCGGGGTGTAGGGCGTGGAGGATATCGCCGAGGTTTTGCCTGGGGTTTCGCCGACGGCGAGCTCTCGGCTGTCGATCTGGGTTGAATGGGGTTAGAGTCTTGGGGGAGTTGGAAGAAGGGCAGGTAGACGAGGTGGAAGGTGGATGGGAACTTGATTGTTTTGTTTTCATCGCGTAAGTGCTGGGTGGTGGCCTAACAAGGGGTGGGTTGGGATGGGATGGGGTTGGGGTTGAGTTGAGGCTGGGAGTTTACGGGCCGAGGAATGTACGGAGTATGTACTGTACTGTACGCTCTCCGGATGCGGAGGCCGATCACTAACTGGCAATACGGAGTTGCTCGCACAGCCCTAACTCGACTCAGCCAGCACACTGAATCATGCTTCATTACGAGGGTGATAATCTACATAGTATCCCCCACGGGTTCGAGAGTGCAGCTCGGTGTCAACCAGTAGCATGGTCTGTCATTGATCTTACGTCTTGGTTCGTAGCCGAACGGGGACCGACCGGGGTTCCTCACTACTATAGCCATGTGGTGTATGCGCGGAGGAATAATTGGTGGTGGGATTGTAGGCCGTCAAGCTTGTAGGTGTTTACCATGTTCCAACTGAGCTCCTTTTTCTGGTTTGTTGGGGTGGCCCCGGCAGCACAGTGTTGCGTAGATATAGGATATTTAAGGGTTGATGCCTCGGGATATATAACCGCCCACCAGACTATCGCGACATCAGTATACCACAATTGATGTTATCGGGTAAACATGGAAGTCGCTCCATGAGAGTCACAGGAAGAGAAACCATACTCTCTTCGACCTTTTGTTCACCTGAAAATGAGGAATTGTTGATATTTACTGCAGGGCCAGGATTCTGCACTCTTTCGCGCGCTGTGGGGCATATTACCGCAAATAAGCCGACGTCTACACGAACGGGGCAATGGCAAATTTGTTGACCGCTCATATAGCATTATATCCTGGCAGCATCACGTGCAATGGGGCAATGGCGCATCTGGGAGCGCGTCAGACTGAAGATCTGGAGGTGGCCGGTTCAAGCCCGGCTTGCCCCAATACTTTTTGCTGTTTTCTTTTGGCCCTTTTTCTGTCCTTGCCTGGTGGGACTACATGGTGGTGGGTTTTTAGACAGTATGTACCAATAGCGGACAAGTTCAAGTCTGGAGGAGACGATGGCGAGCAGCGAGAGAATTTAAAGCCTCAGGCTATAAAAAGTCGCCCGGGGCGGAAAGATAGAGTAGAACAGATCTTTTATAGCATACTATATAGACTAAATTTATATATTCAGGCATAGAATATACTCTTATATCTAAACTATATATTAGGATTATTAATTCTCCGAGAGACAATCGAATAAAAATTTTATTAATATATTATGTAATGGACATGTCAGTTGCGAGGCTAGTTATATCTAGTAATAAGAAGATATCTGCTGTAATTGAGTGGTACGCCTTAACATGCGATGAAGTATAGCATTCTCAAAAGATATAAGAGCTAAAAAGAAGAAAATTACATCGATCTTGGGACGATGGCGCATCTGGGAGCGCGTCAGACTGAAGTACCAACTTCGGCCATTAATCTGAAGGTGGCCGGTTCAAGCCCGGCTCGTCCCATTCTCTTTTTTTTTTTTTTGGTTTTTTGATTTTCTTCGTCGCTATCGCAACAGGTCGTGTGGGGCTGATCAATTCCACCCACATGTGGGGCGCCGCAAGAACGAGTATTTGAGTGAGCCCTCAGTCGGATTTCAAGGTTACTAGATTAGAAAGAGCTATAATGACACAATGGCATCTTTTTTATCGTTATATATAGATAGTACTAGAGACACAAACACATATTCTAAAGAGTAACTAGGGCAGACAGACCTAAGATGATCTGCATGCACGAATGCTAGAGAATGCCAAAAGAGTGACCAGTGCCGAAGCACTCAAAACTTCAGGTTCAAACCCCCGAAGGGGGTGGAACTAGCAAACATCGTAATTCCCCTCGTCAGCCCCATGGGCACCACCAGCAACGATAACACCTGTCCGGCCACCACCATGGCCACCACTGGCATGACCGCTGGCATGACCACCGCCGCCATGACCGCCACCGCCGCCGCCTGCGCCGCCACCACCACCCTTACGCTTCTCCTTATCCTTGCCCTTGCCCTTGCCCTTCCCATCCTTATCCTTCCGCTTCCGCGCATAGCACGCATCCGCATGGCCCTTGTCCTCCCCATGGTCATCATAGTACCGCACCGCCCCCTTACACTTAAAGTTCTTGTCGACGATCACGAACTCACGCCCGGTCACATCGGCCTTGCCGTCGTAGACGCCGTCGGCCACGAGCGGGAACTGGAACAGTTCGTCGCGCTTGTTGAACAGATCGCTGGCGCGGCGGTCCAGGGGCTTGGGGAACTCGGCGTAGTCGTGCGGGTGCTCCTCCTTGGCCTCGTGGATGCGCTTGGCCTGCTTGACGGCGGCCTTGACGTGGTCACGGGTGAAGACGTGGTCGTGGCAGACGATCTCCACGTTGGTGTCCTTCTCGCGGGGGGTGATGGTGAGATGAGTTAGGTCGGGGAGGGGTTTACCGGTGGTGGTATTAGGGCTGAGGGCCAAGGCAGAGTCCTCGGGGAGCGGGGTGGAGGGGCGGGAGGGGAGCGGGGAGCTGCTGGCGCCCATGAGGAGGCCGAGCCCCCCAAGGAAGACGACTTCGGGGTGGAAGTGCATTGTGGTGTTTGGTGTAGGTTGTACGAGTGAAGGTGTAGCTTGGTTGAAGCTTGCTTCGGGTGTACTGATGTTGGTGGGGGGGTTTGATAGTGAGGGAATAGGACTAATAGGTAGGTTGAGAAGGTGGTATTTATAGGCATTCGATGAAGCCGGACTGGAGTAAGTGTATAGATTAAAACTTGATTGACACTTTGTCAGTAGGTGGGTGTCCTTGTTGAATCCCAATAGAACAATTGCTTTGTTCGGGACGCCATCATCCCTTTGACAAGCACAAAGGAGAGGGATAGATAATTAATCAACTCATTATGCTTCCGCTAGCTAGGGCATACAGGTGCATTGTTTGAACTGCAATGCAATACTGAGTTCCGGCGTAAGTCATGACTTTGGGCTGTTAGCCCAACATCCCGAAACAATGACTTGCCCTACGTCAAAGAAGCCCTGTATTCGACAACTAACTCTCAGCAAGAACCACCGCAGATCCTCTGATTGAGTAACGCGCAGTAGTTGAAGTGTTTGATCTTTATGCCACAGATTCGGCAAGCAGAACCGGCCATACCACCTTGGGTCTCAGCAGACCTCGCATCATCGGCAGCGGAAATCCCTTCCGCGCGCGGAATTCTGCCGCCTTATATCACAAATGGATGAATGACTTTCCGACTAGGTAGTGGTCCATTCTGCACTCGACATAACGGAAATTGATAATCATTCCAACATATCCAAATCCCAAGATCTCCCATAGTACTCTGTCAAGGAGCGATGGTCGGTGGCGTCGTCTCCTTAGTCATCGGGCGGCCCATGACAAATGACCTCGCTGAGTCGATTGGTCATACTTCAACTTCATAGACGTCACCAAGGTGTGCGGTGTAGGTGTATATGAGCAGAATACTCACCAGAGCAGAAGGGTTTTATCCACTCACATCTAATATATAATTAGTGCAACTGTCGCGGTCTATTGACAAGAAACGCAAAGAAATAACCCGTTTGAGTTCAACCTCTGATCATCATGGCCGCTACCAGGGTAGCTCTTGTCGGAGTCGGTTTCCCTAAACCCAGTTCTTACCCCAATGCCCCCTTGAATTTCTCAGATGTTGCGGAACAGCCAACACCTAACGGACTTAGGCTTCTGGCAATCTTGGACCGGCGATTCTATCCGAGCTACTGACGGGCGGTTTTGATGTCACGGTCCTCACCCGGCAGGACAGTGGCAAGGAGTTTGATTCAAGAGTTCATGTTGCGAAGGTTGACTATTCGTCTCTCGAGGCCCTTCAGGCGGCGTTAGCTGGCAATGAGGTGGTGGTAAACACTCTAGGAGTTGGCTCTGTTCCCCGGGATGTTCATCTCCGCCTGGTGGATGCCGCAGTAGCCGCGGGAGTCAAGCGTTACATTCCCTCCGAGTTTGGATCTCACACTACCCACCCGGCAACGGCAAGGCTTCCCGTCTTCGCCGACAAGGTTGCGGTGCAGAAACACCTCCGGCAGAAGGCGTCCCATTCCGCGGATTTCACGTACACGCTGCTGTTCAACGGCCCCTTCCTCGATTGGGGACTGAAAGTGGGCTTCCTGTTGAATCTCGCTGGTCCTGTGGCTACCCTCTACGATAATGGTGAGAGGAGATTTAGTACGACCACCACCAGCGCGGTGGGCCAGGCCGTGGTGGGGATCATCAAGAACCTTCCCGCGACGGCCAACAAGGAGGTGTTCGTCCATCAAGCCGTGGTCTCCCAGAGGGAGTTGCTGGCTCTCTCCGGCAAGCATCTGGAGACCAAGGCTGTCTCGACATCCGACCTGGAACAAGAGGCGTCGGCGGAGCTGGCTAAGCCCAACCCCAACTTCCATGCGGCTGCCGTTGGCTTCTTGCGCCGAGCAATCTTTGGCGAAGGGTTTGGAAGCCACTTCAATTCAAGTGATCTTTCCAATGAGACGTTTGGGGTGCGACCGCTGTCGGAGAATGAGCTTCGCGAACTGGTCGCTCAGTGTGCGCGTTAAGCTTTGCCTTTATCCTGCATTCTCCGTGTGCGTGTCTATTAGAATCACGCTGACTAGGCTGCTCGGCTAGGGCGCCGATGATTCATGCCGATAGGCGTCGACTTTTATGCCATAACTCTTTTGCAGGTTGGAAACATGTATTATGGAATCAAATCATACGTAGCTTTAGTAACCAGCTGTGAGCTGGCCTTCCAAAGGCCACACGGTAATTATTCAATCATATATATATATATATATTCAGTATTTATTCCTAAATCAGCTAAAATCATGTCAAAGGCATTTGACACCTATATGATAAGCGAATGTCTTGTTGTGAAAAAGGAAAGATGCTGAACGAACCAACTCGTCACAACTTAAATTCACTGTATAGGGACAAACAAATCTAGGTAACTAGGTAGCGATCAGAGACAGGATCACTCATATCAATCCGGAACCTTGAGATTCAATAATTCTTCAATCGCCATATGATCGGTGGAAAGTCAGATAAAGTCCGAGGTACAAAAAGCTTGAAAAAATCAGCCACCAGACTAATCCAGGTAAGGAAAGACATTCGCAAAAAATTGGGTCGGACGACATGCGGTGGAGCATGACTCGCTTGCTCATTCGCCTTCGACTCTTCCGAAGCACCGGGAGAGTGGATCACCGCGCTTGTTGTTGAATCCCATATAAAATCCCAACTCAGCCTTGTCATTACATTTGGACGATCTGTATCGAGATTCACGAAGGCATTCACCAAACCCACACAACTCGATCCTGGTCTGATTGTGGCATTTCCTGTCACTACCATATTATCCCAATCGTTCTGGCAGACATCCTACTTACCTTCTCCTCAAACTTTAACACCCAAGACTCGAACCCACTGAGATGGCCAAAGTGATCATCTTCGGCGCAACCGGCACGGTCGCCTCAGCCACCGCCCGCGCCGCCCACGCCCGGGGCACCAGCGTCGTCCTCGCCGCCCGTGACCCCACCAAACCCATTTCAGCCCTAACCCCCGAACAAGAGCACCAGGGCAGCTATCAACGCATCCAGGCCGACCTGAGCGACCCCGAATCCATCCGCCTCGCGGTGACCTCCACGAACGCCACGCGGGCATTCGTCTATACCGTCTTCGACGCTCCAGACCACATGCGCGCCAGCCTGGAGGCCATGAAATCCGCCGGGATCGAGCACGTGGTCTACTTGAGCAGCTTCGCTGTGAAGGGCGAGCCGGGCAGTGTCGGGCCGGAGAATTTCATCGCGCATGCCCACGCGCGGGTAGAAATGTCTCTGGCAGATGTGTTTGGAGCTTCGGGGTATGTTGCGGTGCGGCCGAGTTTCTATGCCACTAATATTCGATGGTGGTTGGCTGCTGCGGCTGAGGGGAGGGTGGGGATGGCGTATCCGGAGGCGAAGTTTGACTTGGTGGTTCCGGAGGATATTGGCCGGGTTTGTGGGACACTTCTTGCGCAAGGGAGTGGTATGGTGCAGGGCAATTATGTGAATTTGCTGGGTCAGGAAGAGCTGGCGCTGGGAGATGCTGTTCGATTGCTGAGTCGAGAGACCACCGGGAAAGAGGTGGAGGTTGTCACGGTTGGCGAGGAGGAAGAGATTGAGTGCTTCGTTGCAAAGCTTGGGTTCCCCGAGCCTCTGGCGCGGGCTGTCGTGCAGCAGAATCGGGAGCAGAGCCTTGGTCTCGGTCGTGGGCTTGTCAATTTCGCAACGGACACGGATTTTACGCGGAATGTGTATCGCATCACTGGGAGTCAGTCGACGGGGTTCAGAGAATGGGCTCAGCAGGCGTAAGCGCATAGCTGGTGCTTAGTGGGGAGATAGCTAGGCGTTGGCGAAACTAAATGTCAATGTTGTGGAGACAATGTGAGCGATCGGCTCTGCAATGAAGTACTCTGTACAGTATTGGCCAACTATTGGTAATCGTCACGAAAAGTCTATAGGTAGATAAGTGATAAAGCTGAAGGACAATGTAGACATAACCCATTGGGCCTGATTCGAGGTGTATCATGTGAATACAGAGGATCTCCTCCAAAGGCCCCGTCCCCCGCGCATACTAGACCCGCCGATCAGCCGAAATAGAAAGTCTAATGGCCGTCGCAACCAGTCCCCATGCGATGACAAAAGAGAATCATCGGCTGGAACACGGGCATTTCCTGCATGACCGCCTGGATCTAGGGATGCTCCCGGTTGAGCGTATATTTCTACAATCTAGGAGCCCGGCAAACACAATCACCAGATCGTGTCCCACAATCCCTAGGGTAGTTGTGGAAAGAAGGCGAATGAGCTCATTGGGTCATATCATGATGCTTAATTGTCACAACCTTGTTGTCCGACTCTTTTGAAAAGGGAGAAGTCAGAGAGATGGCAAGTCGAGACTAGGATGCAACGGGGCGGCGCTGCGGGAGCGTAGTCGCTTCACGGCCAAGTCTTGACGGCATGGTGCAGGTTGGGCAGTATAGAGTTGCTTTGTCCTAGGCTTGGGATGTTCTTGTGGATGTTGCAGTCCCCGCCTATTGGACTGTCGCAATATCATGTAGGAAATTTGTGAACCTCTTTGAACAGTAATTCTTGAATTTCACTTGACTACAGCTAACAAAATAGATAATTTTAGAAACTATTTATCCAGTAGTACAGTGTATGTCGCTCGCTTAAGACTCGGCTGGTTTCCCGCGCAGCTGACATGCCCGTCTTCAAAGTGGAGATGCCCCGCACGGAGATAGGGTTTAAAGGAATGATCTCAGTGTCAGCACTCTGACGGAGCTGACTTGGGATTTCGCCTTCACAATTTCGCCTATTGGATGATATTGCAAATGATATTTGACCCAAGCCCCGCAGGGAAAGGATCAGGGAATACAAATACGGTAGTATGGCATAGTGTCAGCACCTGTGGGGCCGTAAGCGCGGTGTACGGCCGGGCTTATGCCCGCGTCATCCCGGGGGTTCACGGTATCAAGAGAAATTGAAAACTCTGAGAACAGCGATTATATCAATGTCTTGAGCACCCTCTCACCTCTCTAGAAATGAATCAAGTAGCATATCTTCACAGCTTCTACTTTATACCTCTCCTACAATGTCCAAATCCGTCATCCTCTCCAATTCCTCAGGAGGCCACAGCACCGCCAAGCCCACCGCCACGTTTACCGGGGATGTTTACCTCGATATGATCCACTTTGACGACAACGCCGCGATTGCCAATGTGACATTTACTCCTTGCGCGCGAACCCATTGGCACACCCACGAGCACGGGCAATTCATCAAGGTCGTGGCCGGATCGGGCTGGATCTGCGACAAGGGCGATGCTCCCCGCCGGATCAAAACGGGCGATCTGATCTGGGCGCCGGCTGGCACCACGCATTGGCATGGCGCCGACGATGGCACCATCTTGACCCATTTGGTTGTCGGCCTGGGAAAGACGGTCTGGCACGACGCAGTCACCGACGACGAGTACCGTGCCAAAGCATAGGCTGTAATTGGCTTCAAAGATCGATATGGCGCATGACAATAGACGGGAACAGATATCAGGAAGGAAAAGGGTAGTCATTGCGGGGAGAAAAGGCAACCGCTATCTTTGTTGTCAAATTCCTTCTACCGTTGTCTCCCTGTAAAGAGCAAAGGTTGAAGACTTTTGCTCTCTGCTTCCTGCAATTCTCTCAAGCTCTCGCCGTATATTTCATGGCAGCTTGTTTTCCTACCTTGCAATGTACATATACTTTCTCTGGTTAGAAAGGAAGATCATCCAGGCTCTGACGTCAATAATACCATAATGAAAAGAAGGTCTCCTATCTTCGAAACTCACGAAAGAAATTTGATGGGAGCTCTCGAGACATTGCTAGTGGATTGGTATAGTAAGTTGAAGTACGTTGCGTGTTTGCTCGAGAATGAAAGAGATATAACAGGGTTAGTAATCGAGCGTGACCCGAATTTGCACAGCATACAAAGAGCAAGAGAGACTTGTGAGTACCACAGATAATAATGAAGGGGATCTACGAGTGTTCGACGCTAAGTCCATGGCATGGAGGGCTTGTCTATCAAAATGCGCTTGCCCAGTATAAGGTAGAACATCTTGCACGTGGTGCCAGAAAGACGGTGTCTCTGACTAGCAGACCCTGAGCAGGATGATTGACAGAGATCTTGCATGATCGCCGTACTAAAGCGGCATGAAGAGATTTTGAAACCATGATAGAAGATAATTTCGCAGACCCTTCACATTGCTTCGGAAGCCGAGGCCGCTAACTTACACCATTCCTCTTTTCTTTTACAACCACGAGTGCAGATTTTATACTTGGCAACATCTCCTTGTTTGGGCTCTTGGTATGTTGTGTCGTTCATGCGAGCGCGAATGACTTGGACGGAGTATAGAAAGCAGCAACGCCGCGTGTTTCTACTCCTTGAAAGATTCTACGATCTTAAGTTATTCTACTGGCTTTCTTAGAGAACATTCATTCGCTTCTCGCTGGATCTTACGTGGTGGCATTCCGTAGACCGTGTTCGTCGGCATGGTCGCCGAAAGTAGTATGTCGTCGGGAACATATCACCGATGCGAAACCGTTGATTTGCCCGAGAACAAGATCTAGACCACGTTAGCCCAATCTAGGTGAAATGTTAGTGAATAAAAGAAGTCGGCAAGTGCCGACAGGGTATTAGGCAATAGGGCATAGTGATAGGGCGCGGTATGGCGCGGTCCGGCGGGCCGCTTAGGGCTACCGGTTGAACGCATAAGTTAGTTAAAGTTATATGATGCTTTGTCATAAATGTAGGGAGCCATATTAACCCACGCTGCGCTGGTTGCATGATTTGTGTTGGGAAGAGGTCTCTCATAGATGGACCCATTGACACGCACTCGAATCGTACGCCGAGGACAGAGAGTCAACGCGACATACCTGCGATGATTCCGCCCCAAGCATTCCCCCGCGGAGATGTGAAAAGGGGAAGCCATCTCCATGGGATATGAAGAAGTGGAGGGTGGCAGGCACTGCCTAGCGGTGATTCAGTTGTAGCAAGTTGCTCACTGACCAGAACGTCGGAGAATCCTGCCAAGATACTAGGTAATGGGCTGGCGACACGAGAATTGATAGAGGTTGCCAAAGGAAATTTCGGTGACTAATGGCGACTTCACCCACATCACAACCTGTGCCATAGCCGCTTAGAAGTTCCTATATATCTTGAAACTCGAGAGCCGGCGCGAAAATGTACATCTAAAAGATCTTCATCTTACATGGTGGTGGCGAGGCATGGAGACAAAATCCTGCATTTGTACGGTACATACATGAGTAGAATAAAAGGTAGGGCTGATGATGAAAGCCTGAGGTATCCACTGACAATGAAGGGTCTTGCCGCCCCGCCAAGCCCTAACTCTACTTGATTAGTTGCAGGACCCCTTTTTAAACAGAATCCCCACTTCGCCAGTCTAGGCAGCCAACATTAATCCCCTCAAAAATTCTGCAGTCTTCTTTTGTCACCATCTTAAGTCGAATTGTCATCACTTCACTCCCTATCACCCCCTATCACCCTCTCAAACTCAAGAAGTATCTATCTCAGAGATGAATTTGATTTCTCCGAATTAATCGGCTGCTATGGGCGGACAATTTACCATTCTACCGCTCTACCCCGTTTCCTTCCCCCCCACACCTCATGCAATGCGGCCGCCGCAATCCCTCCGCCGGCGGGGCAACTAATGATGATGATGATGATGATGATAATAATGATAATGATGCCCAAAACCGGCCTAGCTGGCTGCCACACACATTGCGCAGGCCATACCTACTTACTCTCTCGACTGTCCTGCTGTTGATTGCCATCGCTGTTGAGGTCCTCCGTCAATATTCCACTCGCCACAATGGCATCGCTCAATACAAACAGAGGGAAGACCTTTCTACCTCCATGTGGCGGGCGTGGGCGGATACTCCCACCATTGTCGGCCTGGTTGCCGTAGTCCTTTGGGAAGTCTTTGCCCACGACCTGCTGCGCTTGGAGCCGTATTTCCAGCTGGCTAATCCTAGCGGTGCCTCCGCCAGTGTTCTCTTTACCAATTACAGCTTCGATCCTGGAATCCTCGCTCCTATTCGTGCCCTTCGAAACCGACATTGGATCGTGCTATGCGTTTCCCTGATGTCTTTGGCAATACACCTCCTCGTGGCCTCGTTGCTCTCGGGTCTTGTTGTCCTATCATCCTTTGATGTGGTGGAGACCAAGACCCTCGATAGCTGGCCACACCTGGTTGATCTGGAAGCTCAGGACAATTGGTTCGCACTCGAAGCTGCTCACAAGCCATCGTCGCAGAGCTCTCATTGCAATGACCCCGGACCAAACAAAACCATGGCCTATGCCGTGGCTCCCGTAACTTTCCCATCGGACTACAGCATGGAATTTTCCACCCTGAGCATAAGTCAGTCCGTGTACTGGTCCGACCTGACGTGCGTCAATGCGACTGTGACTGGGGCAGTACCGAGCACAATGAATGTTTCTTCAGCCGAGGATTCGTTGAGCGACCACGGTCTGGTGTGGAATCTTTCGAATGTCACGCTGCTAGGCATGTCGACAGCCGCCGCCTGTGAGATCGGTATTGCGCTCAACACCTCTGCTCCGCTCGGGGACGGGGGCTTTCAAGCACGCTATTGGGAACCCGTACAGTCCCAACCCGCGCCTGTGTCTCGACCTGCCTTCAACGCGACCGGCTGTCCCTCCACCGGTCTGCTCGGTATAATAATTGACATGGAGAGTATGGCCGGGACACCGTTGGGCTCGAATCTCACATTCTTTGCGTGCCAGCCACTTTACAGGCAGGCGACCGCTAATGTGTCTTTCACGGACAGGTCGTATCCCACCAGTATCCAACCAATACATTCTAGCATCGGGGATTTGGGTGAAAAGGATTTCAGCGGGCACGGGTTCCAGAGCTTGATGTCCGCGGAGCATACTCGCACAGGTGAATCATGGAACGAAAGAATCAGCATCGTTGGAAATACGGAGGCCTTGAATTTGACTCAATATCAGGAAGCTGTCGGCCGTACATGGAACCACAGATTTACAAACGCGATCGATAGACTCTTCGACCAACAGGCGGAGGCTGTGCGAATCGATGCCATCCTGATGACGTACTCAGTGGCCGTGGCGGTGGTCCCTCGCGCGGCTGTCCTTATCGAAACCATTATGTTTTCAAGCTTTGCCCTAGTCCTTGCTCTGAGTTTCATATACCCACGTCGGCTTAGCCTCCTTGATCGCGATCCCAGCTCTATTGCTGCGCAGTGCGATTTGATTGCCCGCCTGATCGATTCCGACACACTCGGTACTCTGTCCCAACCGATCTACCATGTCGCACGGACCCGACGACTTCGCAAATGGGCCAAGGGGCTCTGGTGTAGGTGGATTCCAGGGTCCAATGGTCGCCGCCTTGAACTGTCTCTGATAGATGGGTCTCCTGCGAAGATGGGACCGCCACCTGCTGCCTCCAAACGCGGAGATCCAATGCCGCACTTCTTAACTCTTCCATGGTTTGTGACGGAATGCGTTCTTCTCATGGGCGCTATCACCGCAACCGGCCTGACGTTTTCATGGATCCGAGTCCGCGTGTTAAACACAATGAACACCACTGAATATCTGTTCGCAGCGGCTTTCTTAGTCTATGGCCCCACCATGATTGCTTCAGTGGTACGCTCGCTCATCAACTCCCTGCACCGCCACCTGAGCGTCGCAGAACCATGGATCCGATTACGACAAGGGATGAGGCCTTCAATGCCGCTATCCGCGCCAGCGTACGGTCCTCTCAAGACCCTCTTTGTGTTGAGGCGATCAGGGCCACGGCCTTCCCTCTCTACGTTCGGTCTGTCGTTGGTCTGCGTGCTCAATCTGATTCTTGTCGTTGTTACTGGCGGTCTATTTGAGCCGCAAATCAACACTTACTTCGCATCCTCCAACGTTACCACCTCATACACCGATTCAACCTTTGATGGGCCGACTCTTACCCCGGACTTTCCCAGTTTCGACCGCAGTATATACCTTCTGACAATGAATCACTCGCGCCTGTCGTGGACTACAAGGGATCTCTCATTCCAGCCGTTTGAAATGGATATAGACGAGGGTGCCGTCGGTGTGGTATTCAATGCCATGATTCGTGGAATCGGCACCACTCTGTCGTGCGACGAATTGCCGTTCAACTATGCAACTATCGACAACTACACTACGACGGTGAATTGGGCTTACCCTCTTTCACCAGATACTCAGACCACTCAATGCAATGTCCATCTTCCTCTCGTTTCTCCCGACCCCACGCGACCAAAAATCCAGTATGCGTGGCCCAACAACTCCGACTGCCAGAGAAGCGGGTTCTTCGTCTCCGCCACCAGCCTACCCACCGACAACCATACATCGACAGCGCTGCACTGCACCCCTCAGCTTCACACCCAATTCTTCGAGGTCCAAGTCGATCCCAGTGGCCATATTCTGGAACACGCCGCTGTCCATCATACAGCTCCGCTGACCACCGGGCCCTTCTACGCCAACCTCACCACCGCTCTGGGCCTCTTCAACCGGAATCTCGGCTTCTTTGTCCACAATATCTCAGCGCAGCCGCTCCCGTACTACCTCTCCTCCTTCCCCAACCACCAGACCACCCAACTATCCCAGACCATCCAGCAGACAGACCCCACCAACACCACCAAAGCCCTCACCACCGCGATTCAAACCCTCTACCAATCCACCTTCGCAACCTACCTCACCCTGAACCGCGACCTTCTCTTCCCCCGCGGCCCGATGGTGCAGATCCCGGGCGTGATCAAATACACCTTCTGGGGCTTCATGCCCTCGAGCACCACCATCGTCATCATCATCGTGATCTTATCGATCGACGTCCTCGCGCTGGTGACCGTGTTCGCGTGCTACTTCGGGCGGTACGATGCGCCTCGGATCCCGAAGGCGATTGGCTCGTTGATTCCCTGGGTAGGCGGGCCGGAGGGGGCGAAGCGGTTGGCAAATATGGGGGGAAACGGCGATGATGAGGAGGACCGGCGGTACCGTTTCTGGTCTCAAACGGATGCGGATGGGCAGGTGAGGTGGATTCTGGGGGAAGTGGATCGCGAGGCAGAGGGGGAGGAGGATGGGGTGGAGTTGGGGAGTGTTGGGAGGAGGGATTCCGGGGGTTCGGGGATGCGTACTGACCCTTCTGGCGTCGAAGCATGATATCTCTTATAAGATTATAATTGTAAATAGATTGATGCGGCAGAAGTCCTTCCCGTCAAAGCATGAGCTTGCTTTTTTTTTTTTTTCTTCCCCCATGCTTTCTACGTGAGATTCCTGGTTTTCTTAGTACCATGCCATTTTTGAGCTTCGCATTGATCATGGCAGTGTCCTTGGGGCTCCGTGAAATTGGGGAAACTATACTAGGTATGTGATTGCGCCTCGGGGAGATGCTTGGCTGAGTGATGGTGAACCGGAGTTGCTAGATTCGCATGCCCGATAAGGAGTAGAAAGTAGAAAGTCCTTCGCCTGGTGGGCAAAATCCGCTCTGGATTCCAGGGACCTATCTTGATTTGGATGGATCTCCGTGGCTTACTGTTCGTGAAGCAGGTGAATCATGCAAACTATGAGTAGCGACATTGTCTACCCAGAAACCCCGGTCCCTTCAGCAACCAATTGGTCGGCTCTCGGCAGACCTGGTTATCGGTCGAAGTCCTGAGGCCGGAGAACCACGGTGACTCCCTGAGATGGCTGAAGACCAAGCTAGTCCAATCACATGGGCACAAAGTCATAAAATCAATTTACAATAAATCGGTGTCCACGTCTCCTGTCCTGGAGCGCTGGGAATCAGGCTATTGATAGGTCACATCTGAGCCATTAATTGAATAGGATCAGCAGCAGTAAGGTCAAGGAATAGAAGGAGAAACATTCTATGATGACTGCTTTCGATCTGGAACTCGTGCAAAAGAAAGGCGGAAATGCGGGTCCATATCTCCGTGGGCCAATGGGATAGCAACTTACAGAGTGGCTTTGATTGCGCACTCGACATGTAGACTTTCGACACCAGAGGTCGTACGCTGAACTGCGCATGCCTAATTGTGCAGTTACTAAAAGCCGACAAAGTCTCGCACATTACTAGGCCCAGGTCGAATTTCATTGTACGCCTTCCGAATCAGGTAAGCATGGAGTCTCGCTGGTTTTGTACACAAGAAAAGGCAACAATCTTAGTAGTAAGAACTTTCGTAGCGGAGAAGAGTTGAACAACGACACCGGTGTTGCAATATCATACTACAAAAACAGTATCAAGCTCTATATATAAGGTGTTCCAGACATCTAGCTTGTCCCTATACTGGGTTCCACAATATGAACAAGTATTTTCAAAGCTGGTACCATAGGAAGTAACCGGAGAAGTGCACACACAGAACCCAGAAGCAGAGATGCAAGCCACAATAGAATCTAGTGATTTTCAGTGTGGAACTCGCATATCTGCCAGATGATAGAGTACTATCCTTGCTGTATTAGGGACTGGGCAAGTTAGGCACTAGGTCGGACTACGCAGTCTTCTCAATTGGAAGCGCTAAACCTCTTCGATAGGGCCGGGTAGGGCCCGCGCAGCGCAAGACCTCTGTTAGCGTCAACTAGTACAGGAAGTACAGTCACGGGTAGCTCATGTTCCTACTCAATTGGTATCAGCTGTTCTGTCGCTCACCATAGAAACATTTGGCTTAAGAAGCAGTTGCTTGGGCAAGTGAGCCCAGATGTAAACCCATAGCAAAGTCTAGGAAGGGCGATCCGAGAAGAAGCAAAAGCAAGATCACGCGCGGACGTTTACACCCGGTACGTAGCCTTGGGAAAGTCAAGCTAGTAAAAGCTTCTAAGCGAGGGTTAAGTTAATATCTAGAGCTTGTTTCGCTGTTGCCTAATGTGGGTCGAGATTGACACGGATCCACCCGCTTTCTCGAGAAACAACGAACTTTGACAAGGCGAGCTACTAGCAACTCAGCAAAAGATAGCACTGCAGCCGTTGCACTTCTCCTTTGTCCGACCCACCGCGGCGCTTGCCGATTTTTCCCTATCGCTGTACCCTGGTTACTAGAGGTATAACTCGTAAGTTAACCAGCACTTGGGTTCCGGATGAATCATTAGGCGCTGGCCAGACAAATGGAGTCGCTCTTTGGTTGGGATACACCATTCAAAATCTATAGCAGCAGGAGAGCAAGAAAAGGAAGAACTGCAAAAGAAAGGTGGCCTAACAGATTGCACTATAATTACAAGCATCTTCCGCCACTCTGGACTATGAGTCACATCTCAGCATACCTCCTCAAGCTTCCCTTCCCAAATACATCCCTCGTTTCCTTAAGCCTCTTCTGTCAGGAAAAGAGTATGCAGTGGACGTGGTATTGCTTGATTCTCGGTGACCTCTTTGCTCTCCTCGTCCGCTTCCACACCGGAGAATGGTCTCCCCAAGCACGGTACTTTCTCGTGTGCTCGCACTTGGCCTTGTGGGCTCGAGTCTTGCAAACAACACTACTGTGACCTCCTATATCGAATCCTCTGACAGCGGCCCCGGGATGAACCTGACGGTTTCGATGGATGTGGTGAATGCCGACTACGCGTATCTCTACGACAATACAACCACCATTGAGGACCTTACCAAGCGCACCGGAATCACCACCACGGTCGCCGCGTACACAGTGGCCAAGGTCACTTCCGAAGTGATCATCACCGCCGCTTCCGCGATCACGATCTACGAGTTCATCGCCGGGGTGATCAAATCCAAGTCTGATGCCAACTCCTGCACCATCACCTACGGCACCGACTCGGATGGCAGCCACACCGAGGGTTATGCCTACAAAGCCTCCACCACCGGCAGCAACTGCGACACGACTGCGGAGCTAAAAACGATTCGTTCTGCGACGGAAAAGTGTGCCACCACTCTCAGTACCATGGGCGCCGTGCGCGGCTGCTGTACAATGACCCATGGAGGCACTTGGGAGGGCCATCTCCGCTTGTCCGGGGATCCGACCAGTTATCCTGTGACGACTGTGACATGTTAGATGGCAGATTGGGATCAGAAGATGAAAACTATGAGATAAAATGAAGAGCTGCAGCAGTGAGGGGGGAAAAACATCAGGAAAATAGCGGAAAGGAAAAGAACAGCAGTAGCATCAGATATTCAGTCTCCTTCTCTTTTTCATTTTTCTCCTTGAATGTCAGTATATGCTTCCGAGATGGAAAGTAGATCTCACTAAGCTCACCAACCAGGTTCCCACCCGGAATAAGATTCTATTTACGGAGACTTGAATATTGGGACTTGGCTACGGACAGTTTCCAAAAACCTAACTTAACACTTACTAGATTCATCCCCACTGTTGTAGAGGTTTTGATTCGGCTAGTCTTTTTAATCTTTCGCCTGTGCTTTATATCCGCTTCTGCGATCAGATGAGGTTTGGTCTCCGGATGTAGTGGGGCCCGCGCGATCACGGCCGGTGTTCAGCCCGGGATCGTGACCCCGCCCATTTGCGGTATGGTTGAGTCAAAGATGTCCGACAGGAACTCTCTTTGACGAGTGGCATTGAAGCAAGGGTCAGAATCGTAAAGAAGGAGAGACGGCGCCGTTCCGAGAATGAGCCTATCGGTCCTGTCCTAGCCCTCTTGGGTAATCGAAACCGGCGACATTGTATTATCTATATATTAGGGATACATGATAAGTTACCATTTACTTAACTAATTTTCTTAGCAACACTTAGTAACTTAACTTAGCTAGCATGGTTTGTCAGCTGATTGCGCCCCCTCTCCTCTCCAACTTACCTATGCTTCACTAAGCAGGCGGTGTGATCCACCTACGACTACGCACCATCCCCTTTCTCATATTACTGTACTCACCTTATAGCATCCGATTCAGTTTCAACTTCCAGCAAGGTTTATATTACTTTGTAACTTGTAACTCAATGACTCAACCTCCGTCCGGCGCGGCATCTGACAGCGGGAGTCGGAATCCAAGGCCATCCCGAAGGCACGCCTGTGACCGATGCCGCAGTCAGAAGCTCCGCTGCGATCGGACAGCCCACCGCATGAATATATCAATTGTCTGTGATCGCTGCGCCCGAAACCATTTCGCTTGTGTTACCAGTGCTCCCATGCCTATGGGCCGTCCGCGCTCCTCAAATCCCAAGGCTCGTTGCCGTCGAAAAACCAACAAGACGTCCGATGAATTGGGATCCACGACCCCACCATCCTGTTCCACCATCCAGCAGCCACCCGACCTCGCCATGGCGAGGTTGGAAATGGACGCAATCAATGATCTGCCAGACCTCCATTTCAATCAGGGGGATTTAGGCTATGACCTTGGTTCCTTGAGCATGGATGTATTCGACACCTTTGCTTTCGCCGATATGGCCATGAGCTCGCAGCCTGAAGCAGTCGGCCCCACCAACTCCGCAGCCGTCAATCCTCAGGAGCAGAATGTTGAGCACTTGTGGAGGCTTCACAGCACACTGCCAGATCATGTATATCGGATCGAAAGTCAGGCGATAAGCCAGATCGACCCCTCCAAAAATGAATCTTTGCCTGACACGCACCCTTTTGGACCGCAATGGTCCGACGTCGCGAATACACAGAGTGACCATCCGATGCACCAGATGATGCGCTGTTCACAGACATTCCTCGAGATCATTCAATCCTTTGTCTCCTCCTATCGCCAGTCGGTCTGTAGCATTCCACCCCCGGAGTGCGCTGCCACCGACTGCTCACGCAATTCGGATGATGAATATCTTAGGTATCCTGGCAGCTGCTTCTCCGCCTGCACCGCAGCGTTCTCACTGATCTTTATTCTGCCGTACAGTCCTTGGTAGCGCGATACAGTCCCGCAGGAAACCTGACCGGCCCGCTTGCCGTCCTTGACAATTTCGCAGGTTCTGTACCCTTGTCCGATGTGCACCTGAACGGGTCGACGTTGAAATTAGACGGAGTACAGCAGGTAACAACCGTCTTGCAGCTGAGCTGCAATCTACTCGAACGCATCGACCGCGGCGTGGAGATCCTATTGACAGGTGCAGGGCATATTCTATCCGCTCCCGGGACGTATATGTCGGTTCTGGATGCTCTGGTGCAGCAGGAGGCCCGCAGTGGGCGCGGACCTACCCTTCCCGACGGGTCGGGGTCTACCGGGGGCCGGGCCGCTCGACTGGCACCGTCACGCTTGCTTGTCCAGAAAATCCGCAGGTGTATTAATATTACTTGTTTGTGAGAATGATACGGACAAGGAGACAACTTCTTGGGGCTGCAATGAATTGTTTTTAAGAATATTACACTTTTCCATTCCAAGTCCAGAGAGGATACCTCCCGTGTCTCCTCGGTATTATGCAATTTCCTGAACCGCTTCGCCTGAAGTGACTCTTCGGGCCTTTTGGATATGCGGTAGAACCGGTTGCTCTCATAGAGATACAGCACGTTGTGTGGTTTCCAACAAGCGTCCAATTGCGAACGGGTGATATTAAATGCCTAAGGCAGCGAGTTCGGGTACATTTTGCAAGCAACAAGACTTTCGGGCTCGGAACCCTGTAGCTCTGCGAAATGTCTCCGAACAGCTCAAAAAGACCGCGGAGATGAATTTCTCACAGAGGTTCGTCTTTAGCACATTTCTTGACTCACATGAATTCCGGAAATCTCATCACTACACGCTCCTACTTGCGATTCACTCAGCAACGACATGGAACCGAAGAACAGTCCTCCCGAGTCGGTCGATGCACCACTGGCCGAGGTCTTGGACGATGCGCCGAAGCTGACCTTTAACCACGATCTCCGATTTTGGTTGGTCTTTATTGCATTGTGTGTGACTTCTCTGCTGGCTGCTCTCGAAGGGACTGTCACCTCTACTGCCCTTCCTACCATTGTCGCTGACCTCCAGATTGGCGACAATTACCCTTGGGTATCCGATGCCTACTTTTTGACCACGTATGTCACGATATCTATTTTGCACAAAGATGCCTGTTTGTCATTGACTCTAATCTGTTCTATCTTACATAGAGCAGCTTTCCAACCGCTATACGGACAATTCGCCAATGTCTTCGGTCGCCGCTACCCCATGATCTTCTCCGTTGTCCTCTTCATCCTCGGCAGTGGTATCTGCGGAGGTGCCTCGAGCGAGGCCATGCTAATCGCTGGTCGAGCGGTTCAAGGCGTTGGCGGAGGCGGAATCAACATGCTCATCGATCTCATCATCTGTGACCTGGTCCCCCTCACGCAGCGAGGCGCATACATTGGGCTGCTGTTTGTCGTCTTTGCAATAGGCACCTCACTGGGCCCATTCATTGGCGGTGCCATTGTCGGCAACACCACCTGGCGATGGGTTTTCTACCTCAATCTTCCTATTGGAGGGTTAGGTCTAGGCCTACTCATCCTCTTCCTGCAAATCAACTACAACCGCGCGATGTCCATTGGGGCGAAGCTGAAGCGCTTGGACTACCTCGGGAACCTGCTGCTCGTCGGTGCAATAGTATCCATTCTGATTGCGCTCAGTTGGGGCGGCACGCGTTATCCTTGGTCCTCAGGCCACGTCCTTGCGCCGCTAATTATCGGTCTCGTGGGAAGTCCGGCGTTCGTCCTGTATCAAGCGACTCCGTTTGTGGAAGAACCGACGACCCCGTTGCGACTGTTCAGCAACCGTACTTCGATCATCGCATTCTTCAATACCTTCATGCACGGCCTTCTCAGCTTCTGGATCCTGTACATGCTTCCGGTCTATTTTCAGGCAGTGCTACAGTCATCTCCAGAACGCTCTGGCGTCCAGCTCCTCCCAACCGTGATCTCGATGATCCCCGTCGCTGGCGTGTCAGGCGCGATCCTCTCGAAGACAAGCAACTACAAATTGCTCCACATCGTCGGCTTCGCTCTTCTCACCATCAGCCTCGGCACCTTCACCGTGCTCGGCCCCTAGTCCTCCACCGCAGCGTGGACGCTGACGCAAATAATCGCTGCATTTGGCGCCGGAACGGTAATGCCCGTGCTTCTGCCGGCAGTCCAAGCCGGGCTCGAGGAAAAAGACACGGCGACTTCCACGGCCCTGTGGGCTTTTGTCCGCAGCTTCGGCATCATCTGGGGCCTGTCCGTGCCTGCTGCCATCTTCAACAATCAATTCGACAAGTATGCCTCGTCGATCAGCGATCGCTCGGTACGAAACATGCTGAGCGGGGGCAATGCGTACTCGTACGCCTCGAGCGCAACCATCAGTGCACTCCCAGCCGCAGTGCGGGCAGAGACCATCAACATGCACTCCCGCAGTCTGCGCGTGGTGTGGCAGGGCTCCATCGGGTTCTCCGGGCTGTCCTTTCTGCTCTGCTTCTTCGAGAAGAATATCAAGTTGCGGTCGCATTTGGAAACGGAGTACGGGCTGAAGGAAAAGAACGCGGGAAATGGCTCGAATGGAACCGAACCGGCGGTCTGATCTGCTTGTGAAAGTGGTCCGGTCGTTCACAGGAAGTGTTGGAGTTCATCTTGGGAGGTCTCTTTGTGCTCATATGTTGATATATTGCCGGTGTCTCTGAGAAGAAGCCACAAAGCTCCAACGCGTGGCTAGCGGGGTAGGAACCAATGGAAAATGGCAGACTTGGATATAGCTCATATAATGTTCCTAAAATGAAGTGTCTAGCTGGAGAGCATGAGCATTCGGATCTTCAAGCGGGCAAAATGTCTCCGGGACAGGGGTTGCATCCGCGCGCATGGCACGAATGTCCGCGAGCCGCCCCGGGATCGTTTCGTGACCGCCGCACTCAGGCCATTTCATGTGGTTGTTCGACTTACACCCGCTGCTCTGGCTAATCCAATCCTTCTGTCTTCACGGTACTACTACACAAGAGTAACCTGCAAGATGATTGGTGTTTCAATCTCTACACAGATGGTAGTTGTGGTTCTCCAAGCAAGCAATATATCAATACGTAAATATACCCCGAATTATGATCGGGTACGGGTATGACCTTACCACGCATTGGCCTACGGAGGATGTATTGGTGCAGCATGTAATATGCCGTAAGTTACCACCGGGTGTTGTTTTTACCCATGGCACGTCAAAAGTTACTGCTTTGCATATGTCTTTCTGCTTAAAAAAAAAAAAAAAAAAAAACAAACTAGAAGTAGATCAATACAAAGGAACCTTTTTATAACGACCCATCATCGCAAAATAGGTAGGAATGTAGTATATGAGGCGAAAAATTCCCAGCCGAAGATCAGCACAGAGAAAAACCCGCTTTACAAAGGTTTGTTATAAGGATCCACAGTAGATAGATTTGGGATTTATATCCTCATTTTAATAACTTTAGGAAGGAAGCCTTTTAGTCTACTCGCGAATCCTAAACCAGATTTGAGATGTGTGGGCAAATGTTCGGTCGTGGAACTAAGTGTATATAACTAAACCATATACTCTCAGTAGCACTATCAACCTCAACCTAACAGCACTGGAAACCCTCGGTTGCAACGCTGCGAAGGCAAATGGCACAATGGCAGGGAATCAGATCGGCCTGGAAACTCGAGGAAAGGTCATGAACACCTGGGAAAATTGACCGTCTTAGCTAGAAAATGTAAGAAGCAAACATACTGTGGAGAGTTCGCGCCAATTGCAAGCCGACATCAACGCTAGTTCTTTGGAACTAATGCACAAGCCCCGCGTTCGGCTGAACCCAACTCACAACCAGCTTTTCTCGACGATCAGTTCTGAGAGTGAGTACCTCTGCCCCTTGTTGGCTACAGAGAACCGGTTCTATATCGAAAGTGTCAATGCAAATATGAGGAGGTTGAAGGAGAAGGTCTCACACGGTTGGGATCGTATACGGCACAAGGAGACGAATGCCGATCGTGGGTCCACAAGTTCGACCCGCACACGGCGCAACCCCAATCAGCCTACAGACCAACAGCTGAACGAAAGCGCGACCTTGTCGGTGCTCTGTAGAGATTCGAACCCGAAAGAAAACGATCATTCCGAGGACCTTCAACCGCAGGATGTCTCCCAAGGCAACTCGGCAACACTACCCAAACACATCCAGCACAACGATACCCAACACTCGCTCATTCACGTGACGAAAGAAGAAGACACAGAGGAGTCAAATTCGTATGAACCATCGGAGAAGGATCATTGCAATGAAGGACAAGTTCGAGACCTCTGGAGCGAAGCCCTTGGAAAGCTATCGCCTGCGACCCAAGCCCAACTTCGGGCATTCGGCTACGAACCGGTCTCGGCAACATCGCAGCAGGAACAAACTTTGAATGTCATTATCAAAGTCCTGCAGCAGAAGCAGAAGCAGTGCGAAGAGGAGGCCTGGACATTTGAAGTCGGGCAGCACAAGATCATCGTGCGCGACTACGCGTCCAAATGTGCGACCTGGGTGCAGTTGATCGGCGATCTTGTTGTTCCGTTTGCGCCCTCGCAGGCGGCAGGGCCATGGGTTCTGATCAAAAAGGTTCTGGAGGCAAGTCCCTGGCTGTCATAGCAATGCGTCCCTCGTCTTCTGCTTTGCGGTACCTGGATTCCGGTCTGCTGTCTGTGCTCTTGTGCCCAGTCAGTCCAACGACCGAAGGAAGATTGTCTGTAAGACCCGGAGCTAGTATTCTGACCGAGGCTTATAGGTTCCTGTTGCATTCGACAAGCAAATGACCGCTCTACTTGGCACTGTGGACCGCGTCCTGCAGGTCACACACCGTGCCAGAGTATACGAGGTCATCTACTCGGCAGAGGATGGTGGCATTGAGGAGACGCTGTACCAAGATCTTGTCAACGTCTACCAGGCTACCTTGGAATTGTTGTCTTGCAGTACTAAGCTACTGTCGAAGTCGACTACGGAAAGACTGCTAGAAGCGATGTTCGATCAAACCACGGGGCTGTTCTCCGATCTCGCAGCAAAGGAACGCGAACTCAGGTATACGGCCAGCGCATGCGAGAGTAAACGTAGTGCAGAATCAGACGTTAAGATGTTGCAACACTTGCAGGCGCTTCAGGGTTACCTTCCTCGGATTGAGAGCCGGGTGACAGCATTTCTGGAGAGGCTTGAGGAGAAGGATGCCCTTGAGATCCTAGATTGGATCTCGTCTGTCAAATATGGAGAGAATCATAACTTAGTGCGCGGCAACCGGACAAAGGGAACAGGAGATTGGTTGCTACAACACCGTATCTTCCGACAGTGGGAGGAGAGTAGCTCCACAGCCGTGCTGTGGCTGCGAGGGTCTCGTAAGTTTAGCCCCAAGTAGCGTTGGGGTTACAGGATCGACAACTGACAGCAGCCAAGCGGGCACGGGCAAGACCTTTCTCACTTCGAGAGTCATCGACCACGTCGAAGGCACTCTCCGAACGACCGCCAACGACGAAGGCTTTGCCTACTTCTACTGCAACCGAACCGAGGATATCCGTACACGCCCTTTGGCTGTAGCCCAGAGCTATGTTCGCCAATTGTCGTCTTGCGCAAACAAAATCAGCTCCTGCTACATTCAGTCCAAGCTTCGGGTCTGCTATAAGGAGCAGCGGATTCGTGCAGCAAGTCTAGACCTCGCACTCTGTAAGACTCTCTTGATCGAGTCCTTGAATCTCTATCCCCGGACCACCCTGATACTGGATGCATTTGACGAGTGCAACCCTGCATCACGGAAAGAACTTCTGCAACTGTTTGAGGAATTGCTCCGAGTCAGCAGAAGGCCGATTAAACTCTTCATTGCGAGCCGCCCTGACGGCGATATGCGAAGTCGATTCCAGTCCCACCCGAACATCGAAATTCAGGCGACAGACAACCACGACGATATCCAGACGTATATCAGGCAGAGGATCCCTGACGTAGTTACAAATGAGGAACTCCACGCTCCGGTGATGTCGGCTCTATTAAAGAAATGTGATGGAATGTAAGCACACATTCGTTTTGCGCAGTCATAGCACTATGATGGCGGCTGCTAACGTTCGGGCAGGTTTCAATGGACCGCTCTGCAGCTCGATCAGCTGGCGAAATGCGTCAGTGCCGAGACAATTTTGGAATGCTTAGGGATGCTTCCGAGGACACTCGACGAGACATATGACAGGCTCTACCAGGAAATGTACGACCGCGGGAGCCACGATCGGAGCCTTGCGCAACGAGCCTTCCAATGGGTTCTGGCTGTGAACACCCCACTCTCACGACTGCAGCTCCTGGAGGCAATCCGTGTCAATCCCGATCACGATGGGGTGGAACTCTGTGCCCCTATTACTGCGGATGAGTTGCTTTCCTTGTGTCGCAATCTCCTCGTCATAGACTCGGAGCAGGATTTTTGGAGAGTATCGCATCTTTCGGTTGCAGAGTACTTTGAACAACGCCACGGTTGGAACAACGTGGCGGTCAACTTGATGGCCAGCAAGGTCTGTCTGCAGGTAATGCTGAGTGAGACCTACTGGGGTCGTTTGATAGGTTCGAGCCTGCCTTCTGAACTGGGCGCTGAGGTTGATTATCTACCAGTGTTGATGCGATACAGCGCATTCAACTGGCACAAGCACCTTCAGAGACTCGAGAACAGCCCTGTGGCAATGGATGGCGACCTGGCGCCCGTTACGGGCCTTCTCGAGAAGTTCCTCGGTGCCCCGGAAGCCAGCAGTGCGCAATACCGCCTCTGGGCACCGTTGGAGAACATGGAACCTTTTGAGTGCTCAGTTCTGGCTGTCTGTAGGTATGGATTTGTGCAGATATTGCTGGATTGGTGGAGAAGAGCCGAGCTGAGCCCTGTCTGGAGTGATGACATAGGACCCAGTCCCACGATGGTGGCGGTAAGGAATGGCCATGGCCCGATTGTGCGGGTTCTTATGCACAAAGGCGTCTCTATTGCCGCTCAAGCCAATTCGCCGACGGGCCTCACACCACTCAAGGCAGCAGTGTCTCAGGGCCAAGTCGAAGTGGTCAGAATTCTCCTAGAAGCAGTAAAAACGGATTTCAGCTCCCTAGAAGCCACCGATGACTGCTCGCCGAGCAGATTGCAAAGCTGCTCGCGCTTCACATCCCCCGCGTTGGAAGCCGCCATTTTGAACACTGATCTTACCATGTTGAAGCTGTTGATTTGTGAAGGCTTTGCGGACGCCAATCTGCGTTTACCTTTAAGCGATTATGGGAGTGTACTTGTGTTAGCTGCTGGTCTGGGATGGCTGGAAGGCAGCCAATCCTTGGTGGAGGAAGGAGGCGCAGATGTCGATCTGCTTCTGCATCATGGGGCGTACGGCAGCGCTCTGGCCGCTGCTGCATGGTCCTCGCGAAGGAGTGCAAAGGCGTTAGAGCTGATGAAATACTTCGTGGAGAGTCGCCAGGCTGACGTCAATCTGCCCCTTCCTACGGGCCTCCACGGAAGTGCCTTGGCCGCCGCCGTTGATGCCGGTGCTCCCAGAGCCATTCGGTATTTGCTCGATGTCGGAATGGCCAACGTTAATATGCCTCTGCCTGAGCATCCTCATGGTACTGTCCTAGCCATAGCAACCAACCGAGTCAGGAGCACCGTGAGATTGACTCGCATATCCAAAAGACTTCTTGATGCTAAAGAACAAGTCCGATGGATGCTGATTGTACGACTTCTTCTCGCGGCGGGGGCTCAAGTTG